CTTTAATTCTGCTAGCATAGTAGATGCAGTGATACCACTCAGAAGGTACAGCTTATTCCGGTTCTGTATAACAAAATAAGCTGTACTGATATAAAAGCGCCTTATGTAACTGGGATAAGTGAGTCTACACCAGGGCTTTTACTGGCATAAGTGTCACTAAAAAAAGCAAGCCATTAGAAACATATATTTTGAATTGATGGCACATTTGTTGGCAGATAGACAACTCAGAGCTGCATCCCTTAGTCTCTGTGGATCAGCTCTCTCATGCCTCTGAGAACACCCACATGAACCAAAAGATCCATCAGTTACAACAGGATATGTTGTGGTCACAGGCAGTTTAACTTACATTTTTACCATTGGGGCTTTTTGGGCTCCCAATCCTGCCTCTGAGGTGCTCAAGAACAAACAGCGAGCTATCTGGTTATGGATCGTCCTCTTTAACGTCTTGACGGTGGATGTATATTCTTGATGTTTCCGGTGGATGCTGCTGTGGTAGAGTGGCTACATCATTTACCTGGCATCTAATTCATTGCTCGTGCTGTCAGTAGCCATATACCAGAAACAGCAGCAACACAATTATGCAGTAAAACTTTGTAAGCGTAGTTCCCAGCCTTACAAATATGCAATAATTAGCCAAGGTATGTCACTTTTAGCCACCATGACAGCAGAGGAACTAGAAGCCTTCACAATAACGGCAGGGTTTGTTTTCTGCTGAAGTGGGCATGAGGGGTTTCAGCTGTAAATACAGTATAAGGAGTCTTTCAATTAAGGCCCATTCAGCTGGTGTCATATGCTAGCTATTTAACAGTACAGTAAACGTTAAGATGTGCACAGAAGTGCGTAAATGGAAATTTACACATTTCAACATGCACTGTTCAGCCTGTCACAATGACAAAACTCTACAATATTTATGGGTCAAAAAGGTGCCATTGTAAAATACGTGCCTGTCTTTTTGCTAAAGTTCTGTATGTCCAGCTAGTAGCAGTCACATCAGTACACAGACCAGTGGCGGCTGGTGAACTTTGGGGCCAGTGGGGTGATTTATCAGATCAGCAGGGAGGAGCTGGGGGGATAATAGGAGGAGCTGGGAGGAAGATCTAGGCATTAGAGGAGCTGGGGGAGGCCCAGAAGAGCAGGGACCACCCTACAGAGCCCATCCTATTCCCATCCCCTCCTCCCTGTGGGGGGGCCCACTATCTGGTTTCAGCTCCACACCAGCAGTTTTGGCCCCCATATTCCCCTTCCTAGTCCGGGCTCCCTCTGCACTGACCCTCCAGTGAGCGCCCTCTGCCAGGCCCAGCACCAGGGCCTGGGGGAGTTCCCAGTCAGCCCAAGCCTCTCCAGTGGAAGGAGAGAGGAGAGGGGAGGGTGAAGTCCCATCTGGGTCCTTTCCCATCAGAAAGACCAGGATTGGATGAGACCTCCACCCCACCCCCATGCCTGCTATAGCCAAGGAGGGGTCTGCCTCACTACCTTTGTTGTACCACTAGACGCACCCGGGCCATGAAGTCTGTGCTGGTGATTGGACTGTGTACATTATTTACTCCTGAGGGAATTCTTCACCAAAAAAATATAAATTCTGCACACAATATTTTAAAATTCTGCAAATTTTATTTGTCAATAAATAAATGTGGAGGCTCCAGCATGGCAGTAGGTAGCACAGGCCACTGGTTGCACTGAGGTGGGAGATCACCCTGCACCCTTGGGACATGGACTCGGTAGTGAAGCTGTACCCAATCCTGACACAGCGCAAAGGCCAGGTCTGTCTCAGAAACACCCCAGGGCCCTATCCCTCTGCACCAGGAATACTACGTGTGAGCTAGCAGGCTTAGGCCAGCAGGATCCAAGTGTAGAGCGGCTTAGTGTGGGGGGACCTATGTGTGGGGTGAGAGGGTTCTGTGTGGGGTAATCTGGGTGTGGGAAGCTCAGTGTGGGGTTCCAGGTACACGGACAATGGGACTCTGCGGGGCGGGGGAGTGTCACGGTGAAGGTGACTGGAGCTCAGTAGGAGGGGGTCTGGGTATGGGGGGATTGGGCTCTACAAGGGGTCTGGGTGCTGGGGAAGTGGAGCTTAGTGGGGTGGGGGTCTGAGTGCAGCTGGTTGTAGCTCATTAGGGTGCCGGGGGACTCAGCAGGGGGTGGTCTGGGTACAAGGGGGCCTGGTGCATGGTGGTAGGGCTCAAAAAGGGGGGGGGGCTGGAGGTGTGACGTGGGGCTTGGCAGGGGTGTGTGTATTTAGGAATGGGGGGTCCAGATCCACAGGATTTGGGCAGATGGGGGAGCAGCTTCCCATAGTGACCCCTCCCTCCTGTGGCTGAGGAGTGATGGGGCAAGAAGGAGGGGGGGTGCAGAGCCAGGGGAGGTTTCTGGGGGGTGGTCTGAGGGGTGGCCCCTCCGTGCAGGGAAGTGCACTCCTTCACCAACCCCAGTCCAGCCAGGACTAGCAGCTGAGTCCGGCGCAGGATAGGAACCACTGGCCTAGACATCCCCAGCCCTGCGTGGGGACATTTTAGCATGTGCTACATTCACCACAGCCTGCAGCTTGGGGTGAGGAATTCTGCCTGTGCCACAAGAACGTCCTGCTGTTAAATATGAATTGCAGCATACTTAGTCTTGCGCTGTCACTCTATAGATAAAGTGTATATGAGAGAATGTGTATGTCACTAAATACGCTGGTGATTCACATGTACACACACACATCCATGTATAAATAAATTAAAAAAATACAAAGTGTGTACTTGCCTACTTTGTTGGGGGCAGTGCCATAACACTCTCTACACACCAGTCGCCACTGACACAGACTATTCACAGTAAGGAGCCCTTCTCTTTACCTGCTCTTGATGGTAAAACAACATTGAAAGTTCTGCTCTATTTGTTTCTTGGCATAGGGACTGCTTTCGTCTCCTCTACAGGGGACAGCACTTTGTTAACAATTAATAAATGATAAACACGTTTGAGATTAGGAGGATAAGAATCACGTTATTCCTCATATAAGGAGGGGTTGAATAAATATACATTTGTGTTATTCCATCCAGAAATGTGCTTCAGGAGCCAAGGCCTCTCCAGACTCCATAAACACAGCAGAGAACAAAGGCAAAGCAGATTACATACAGATAATTGATGCACTGGCCTAAAATTGTACCCTATTCCTGTTGATACTGTACAGCTTCTTTATTGAGACACATGAACAGCTGATTAACTGTAAAGAAGCATGTAGCAATAATATGTGAACTCTTATATTGTGAGGTTGCCATATACCAATAGTTAAAAGACAGGTGCATTGTTATGCAAATTAGCCTGACATCTATGCTCCAAGACACACATTCAAAACAACCCATGTGCCAGCATCATGCCATACAAAAAGAAAAGGAGTACTTGTGGCACCTTAGAGACTAACCAATTTATTTGAGCATAAGCTTTCGTGAGCTACAGCTCACTTCATCGGATGCATACAATAAATTGGTTAGTCTCTAAGGTGCCACAAGTACTCCTTTTCTTTTTGCGAATACAGACTAACACGGCTGTTACTCTGAAACATGCCATACAAAATAATTGTTAAGGACTGCCGGGAGAAACCAATCTCCTCAAATGTATTATCTTATGGTCTGAGCAGAGATTAATTCCTGTCTAGAATGATGCATCTTTGTAATGTTAAAAATCACCAGACAGAAGTCAAAGCTCATATCAAGGTAATTTTTAAGATTACCTGTAACTCAGAAACCATTTGAAAAAATTTAATCAAAATTTACGTAAACATTCTCCTTCACTTTCAGTGTAAATCCAACAAATTTCAGGCCAAGCCTATTTTCCAATCCATAGTTATAGGGAAGCAAAACCAGCCTTTTATAATTGAAGTTGATTGCAAGGATAATGGGGAGATGTTACTGCCCCTCGGTATGTAGAGCAACAGATGTGTATGGTGCTTCACAAAACAATTAAGATGTCCTAACTTTGCCAGGAGAGTTAAATAGGAAGATCAGGCCAAACCCCTCCTTTAACTCCAATAAATTTAAGGTGTACAAACATCCAGCTGATGCCTTAAAATTGAGTTAAATGATTGCCATGCTGTTCTTCCTCTTCCTCTGTGTCCTGGCACTTCCAGAGGAAGAAGGGAACAGGTGGAGGGTTGGAAGATGAGGAGGAGACACCAGCACAAGCCAGCATGGCAAATATTTAATACGTATGCAAAGTCTGACAACGTTTAATGCTCAGTAGCATTTTGGGGTGGAACCTGCCTGGGGTATTTCCATCGTCCCCCCGCAGGGGCAGGGCTTATTCCCCATGAACCCTTAATGCGGGGCTGAGCCTTCCTGATACAGAACGTATGTCCAAAAGGGCACTGCATGTCAGGGCGGTCGGACCCTGAAGCCTCGGGGGCGGTGAAGCGGGGACATTTCCCAAAGATCCCGACCATCGAAGCCAGGGAGACTCCTCATCTCCTTCACCCCTGCCCAGGGGCTGCACAATGGGAGGGACGTGTCACAGCGCTGATCTCCCTCCCCTCGATGGGGCTGTGTCCCCGGCCCATCAGCCCCAGGGCGGAACCGTGCTCCTCTAGTCTCCCAAGGATCTCGCCTTGGGATGGGTCCCGTCCCAGTCCCCCCCTTAGCCCCTCCCCGGGGCCAGATCCCGGGTCCCCCCTGGCCCCTCCCCGGTGCGAGATCCCGGGGGACTAGATCCCGGCGCCCTCCCAGGTCCCCGGGGCAGATCCCCCGAGCCTTACCCCGTGCACATGAAAGCCCTCAGCGCCCCCGGCGGGGATCTCAGAGCTAGAGCCCAGCCCCATCGCCGCACTCCGGGAGCGGCGGCCGCTCAAGGCTCCGGGGCCGCCACCTCCGCTCTGCCAGCACCACAGACCCGATCAAACGAGTGCCGAACCGACCGCTCTGAGCGGCTGCTCAAGCCTGGGTAAGGGGTGGGGCTATGCTCTGGTAGTTGATAGGCTACGCGCCCGTCACGTGACAGGAGACGCGCTTAGTAACGGGGCGGGGCTCCTTGTAACTCAGGACGCGGCGGGTGTCCGTTGGAGCCGTTGAGGTTCAACTAGTCTCATGCGCCCCGCCGCCCCCCGCGGTTGCCCCAGCCAGGAGCCCGAGCGGCCCCGCCCCCGGCAGTGAGGCGCCCGAGCCGCCGCCATGACCGAGCGCGACCCCCAGCCCATGGTACAGACCGCGCCGCGGGCGAGGCAGGGGGTACGGGGGCGGGGGGCGCACTGGGCCGCGAGCGATGGGGACACGGGAGGGGGCCCGAAGGTGGGCCGGGAGCCGGCAACCGGGGAGGCGGCGCTTGCTCTGGGGCACGAGCGAGGCGCGGCTGAGAACGGGAGACAGGCAGGGGCGCGGGTGGTGCTGAGCCTGGTGACGGGGCGGGTGTGGTACGTGGGGCATCGGGCGGGGGCTCGCCCCCGCCGGGCTCTTCCTCCCTCCCCCATCCTAGCTTCTTCCTCCCCCCGTCTCACCTGACCTGCCCGGCCCGGCCCGGCCCGGCCCGGCCCTGCTGGTGTGTGCTCCGCACCCGTGTCACGCCGGCCTTGACTCCCCTCCCTGGCAAACTCCCCCTCACATTCACGTTCCTCACCCCCACCTCTAAACCGGCATAACCCTGCGTCCTGCCCCGCCCCGCCCCACTCCTCCATCCTGCTTCCGCGGGGCTCTCCTTTTCTTTCTCTTCCCTCCCCCTGCCAGCCCGCAGCTGCAGGCTTTCCACCCCGCTGCCCCCAGGGCCGGAGAGAGTGGCTCTGTTCCTGCCGGCGAAATGCTGCTGTCTTCTCTTCCAAACCCCTTCCTAGTGTGCATTTCAGCCGGATTCTTCTCCGCTTAGCCCGGTGTATGTAATCATAGAAACATAAAGTGTAGCGCTGGAAGGGACATCAACAGGTCATCTAGTCCAATCCCCTGCAACCAAGGCAGGACTATGTAATAACAGACCATCCCTGGGCAGGTGTCCAACCTGTTCTTGGAAAAGCTTCCAGTGATGGAGATTCCACAACCTACTTAGGTAATTTGTTCCAGGGCTTAACTACCCAGACATTTTTTTTGAAGATTTTCCTAATATCACACCTAAAGGTCCCTTGTTTCAATTCAAACCCATTGCTTCTTGTCCTATCCTCATAGGTTAGGGAGAACAATTTTGCACCCTTCTCTTTGTAACAACCTTTTACATAGTTGAAAACTGTTGTCAAAACCCCCCTCAGTCTTTTCTCCAGATTAAACAAACCCAGTTTTTTCCATCTCTCCTCATAGGTCATGTTTTCTAGACCTTCAATCATTTTTGTTGCTCTTCTCTGGACTTTCTCCAATTTGTCCACATCTTTCCTGAAATGTGATGCCCAGAACTGGACACACTACTACCGTTGTGGATTTATCAGTGTGGAGTAGAGTGGAAGAATTAATAAGTAATTCCATTTACACGCTGAGAGCTGATTAGCTAGTCAACAGAGGAAACTGATGACTTCAGTAGAAATAAATTCAGTGGTTTCTGTCTGGCTTCCAATTGACAGGTGTCATGAAAACCCATTTACACTGTTAGGCTCCTTTTTTGTCAGTCTGATCGGAAACATCAGGGATTAGATGGGCCTGGAGACTCAAATATATCCTCATCCTGGAGAAGGTTTATAATCTGAGAGCCTGATCCAGCATCCACTAAAGTAGATGGAAGGACTCATGTTGGCTTCAGCAGAGCTAGATCAGGCTTTAAGCCCACAAACTGGAAGAAAAAAAACACAGAGCAATAAGTGTTTTTTGGGTTAGCATTTAGAGTTTCTTGTGTTAATGAATTATGTAAAGTATGACTTTTACAAATATTCTGTGCCCTTTGTAGCCATCTCTCTGCTGTCATACTGATATCTTAATATCTGGCTTTCAGTTTATGAAATAAGGATCATAATATGATCAACAATCAGCAGCAACTCCCTTTCTTTAGTGAAAGAATTTCCTCATTTCACATATTTTTCAAATTAAAAAGAGTACACTTACTTAAATAAAAATTAATTTTCCTGCTCTCTTCCTCCCTCCAGGCTTATATTATATATTATGCTCAAGAAAAATATTTCAACCATGTAAGGCAATTTGCAAATTTAGAATTGGACAAATACATCAATGATCCAGTGTTTCAGTTTTTCAAGGCATATGGAACCTTACATTTAGGTAAATAAAAAGAAGAGATGATTGTTATATTGGTAAGGAAAAGCAACAATTGAATTTACTTTACTTTCCACCTGTGTTTTTTATTCTCTTGTTTAAAACGGATTATTTTACTTCTGCCTTTTACTTTTACTTTTCAATAACAGATATGTTCAGGAAGAGATAGATGGCCCACTGGGTTTAGCTTAAATCACTTCCAAAGTGATAAAGTAAACTAGAAAAAGGTACTATTTATACCGGAATAAGAGTGTCCACACAGGGAGTTATAGAAGTATAACTCTAGTGGCTTAAATTCACACATTGCCTTATATTGCCTTCCTGTGCAGACAATCCCTAAACCTCAAATTCTGTTTCCAGCACAGTCCCAAGCTGGTGTCACTGGGCTGGGCATGTCAGTGGGGTAAGGAGAGAGAACATCTCCTCCCAAGGCAGTCAGTCTGCAGTTGCTACTTCAGCCTTACGGCTGAACAAGGCTCTGTGGTTTCATATATGCGTGGTTTGAATACCAGTTTGTCCATATGGCTCCTACTGTTTCATACGGTACATAATAAAGATCAGATAGAAAAGAGAGATACTATCCCCAATCAGTATTAAACATATCCTCCCCAGCCCCCAACCATGGGGTCTCCCCGACCTAGATACCCACACCCCTTCTCCCCAAGAGCCCGGGTGTGAGCCCCCGCCATCTCTTGCCCAGACACCCATCCCCCTTCCTACCCAGAGAAACAGCTTCAGGCTGGGTCCCAGGCTTTCACAAAGTTTCCTGTGAGCTGCTCTCACCTTCCCTCTGGGCATGCTGGGAACTGCAGCTGCCACAAACCATCTAGCTGCTTTTCCCTCCCCCCAGCAGTGTCTTCTATAGTATGTGTAAGCTAAGCTCTGCCAGGTCCAGTGGCCCATAATGGCAGCTAGCAGCACTGCAGCCCGTTTCTGTAGGGGAAAGGAAATTTGGTGCATACAATGTTAATTTCTGCAAATTCTGCATTGCACAGTGGCGCAGAATTCCCCCAGGAGTAAACAGCAAATCAGGCTAGTAATGAGACACCTGAACCTGGATCACAAAATATATCTCCATAGTACCATATTCCTCAGTGTTCCAATGTTCCCAAAGCTAGTATACATACTAAATATACAGATATAAACAGGGTAGCTCCAGTTCCAAGGACATGTAATTGAAATGTACTGCTCAGTTAGCCTGAGTCTTTGAGCTGGGTATACAGCGAATTCTTTGAGTGATCATTAAAATGTGAAAATTAGTGAATCTGCTATCTGCATTGTCTTTTCAGGTCAAATACAAGATGCTATCTTACAGCTCGAGAATGCCAGGAAATGCCACTCTGATGTTTCATTATGCTGCCTTTTAGCACTCATTTATGCACATAAAATATGTGAAAATGTTGGTGAGTTTTTCTTATCTGTTAAATGTCATTCATCACAAACTTACAAAAATCAGAAAGTTGACCAAATCAGTGGTCTTGTGCTGCATTCACATATTTAGGTCAAATGAAGACCAGAGGGGGAAAGTAGCCTGAGAGTATTTTTATGGAAATATATGCGCTCTAACTGATGTCTATTAAAAGGATTCTAACTGATTGTTAAATGGAATAGCACCAAAAAGAAATATTGCTGCATTAATTGCTAAACTTACTGACAAGGGCAACCTGTCCCCAGCCACTCATTATCTGCCTGACAGGCTGTTTTGAGAATTAATTAATTAGTTTTTACAGCACTTTGAACTTGTAAAGCGTTATATATTGCTAGGTATTGGAGAACTTGGGGATTTCACAACCGAACAAGGTGTGTCTTTTGAGATAACTATCTCATTATAAAATCCTCATGAAGACAAGGCAAACAGTAGTTTTACCATGATGTAGCTAGCCGAGATATACCCTAGATCAGGAGTGGGCAAAAGTTTTGGCCCGAGGACCATATCCAGATATGGAAATTTTATGGGAAGGCCATGAATGCTCACGAAACAGGGGGTTGGGGTGCGGGAGGTGGTGAGGTCTCTGGCTGAGAGTGTGGGCTCTGGGGTGGGGCCAGAAATGAGTTCAGGGTGCGGGAAGGGGCTCTGGGCTGGGACAGGGGGTTGGTGTGTGTGTGTGAGGGCTCTGGCTGGGGATGGGGATGAGGGGTTGGAGGTGCAGGAGGGTGCTCCGGACTGGGACCGAGGGGTTCGGAGGGCAGGAAGGGGATCAGGGCTGGGGTAGGGGGTTGGGGCCCAGGGAGGGGGTCAAGGGTGCAGGCTCCGAGCGGCACTTACCTCAAGCAGCTCCCAGAAGCAGTGTCATGTCCCCTCTCTGGCTCCTACGTGGAGGTGCAGGCAGGCCCGTTTGCAGGTGCCACCCCTGCAGCTCCGATTGGCCATGGTTCCCGGCCACTGGGAGTTGTAGGGGTGGCACTTGGGCATGGGGCAGCATGTAGAGCCCCTGGCTGCCCCTACATGTAGGAGCCAGAGGGGGACATGTTGCTGCTTCCGGGAGCTGCATGGAGCCACAGAACGCGCGGAGCGGGGCAAGCCCCCAACCCTGCTCTCTGGCTGGAGCACCAGAGCGGGGCAAGCCCCAGATCCTGTTCCCTGGAGGGAGTTCAAGGGCCAGATTAAAACGTCTGAAGGGCTGGATTCGGCTCCCGGGCCATAGTTTGCCCACCCCTGCCCTAGACAAACCTCCTATGGTATGCCTTGACCAGTTACTTGCCTTGAATTAGCTATCTTATTGTGAACAACACATCTTTTTTTACTATTGACAACACATCTTTCAGGACTGGTCTTCTGAGTTCATGGTGATCTGGTTGTTTAAGCATTAGGCTGGAAATAATTAGACTCTCCAAGAAACACCTAGAAGTTCCCTACATTAAATCCTGCCTAGTTTGACTATACCTTTCACCCTTGCAAATTAGGTGAGTACTTGCAGTTTTTGAGGTGTGGATCTTTCGGATGAAATCTTAAAACCTATATTCTGTCTGCTCTTGTGGACATTACCAGTCCCACGGTACCTTTGCAAGAGTGGGTGGTTGCCTTGGTTTCATTTGCCAGAATAATCCCTCCCTTCTCTCCACACACACACATCCCAGCTTCTGTGCAGCATATTGTGCACTCATTATCTGACTAGTAGCTGACCTCTGACCTTAGAAATAGGCTATATAATTGCTATATGAATGTAGTTAATAAAGCACGTTGGGATCCTTGGGGATAAAAAGTGCTATATCAATCTTATAGTAGAACCTCACTAATTCGCAGTTTATTAATATGCAAAACTAATAATTATCCTCCAAATCATAATTTTCATCTGACATCTCAGCAGAGATTTCATAGCAGAATGCAGTAAGGTGACCTCATATTACTATAGCTATTATTACTATAGCTATGTTACTTTATAAAGCACATTGCTGAATATTTTAATATTGATTATTTGCATTATTGCATGCCTGGGAGTCCCAGTCATGGACCAAGACCCCATTGTGCTAGGTGCTGTACAAACACAGAACAAAATACAGTCCCTACCCCTAAGAGTTTACTATCTAAATATAAGACAAGAAACAACAGATGGACAGACAGACAGGGGAGTTCAAAGAAACAATGAGACAATATTGGTCAGCATCATGGGCAGTGGTCTTAGCACACCAGCAACCTAACCACTGTCAAGTTTTTATAGGTCTCACAGGAAAGGAGAGGAGGGGTTTGAATGAGTTAGCTTTGTAGATGTTTATGGGGAGCTTCCCCCAAGTATGAGCAATAGCGTGGGAGAAAGCACAAAGGTATTTGTTTGAAAGTGTAGCAAATGGGTGATTGAGGCTGACTGAAGGCGGGAGTTGCCCTTTTGATACTGAATGAGAGATGATAGGTAGGGTGGGGAATAGGTCATGAAGGGCCTTGAAAATGAAGACGGATTATTTTATGTTTGATATGATAGAGAAGAGGAGGCCAGTGATGGGATGCAAAGAGAGGGGAGACGTGGTCAAATCAATGGGATAAAGATCTTTGCATCAACCTTCTGAATGTATATCAGTGGGTAAGACTGCATTTGTCAAGGCCAGAGAAAAAGGTGCTGTAGTAATTGAGACGTGAGATGATGAGAGCCTGGATAAGAGTTGTAGCTGCGTGGATGGATAGGAAGGGCCATGCTATGCAGAAAGAATCATCAATATTTTGACATAGCTTGGACTTGAGGACCTAGAGACAGGTCCAAGTGGAAGATGACATCCAGGTTATGGGCTTCAGTGACAGGTAGAATCGTGGTATTGTCCCCAGTGATCAAGATAGAATGTAGTGAAGAGGGCTTCCAGGGGGAGATTAAGAGCTCTGTTTTAGCTATGTTGAGCTGATGGCTAGACATCCACAAGGAGATGTTAGAGAGACACGCTGAGATTTTTATTTGGATGGAAGCAGACAGGTCTGGAGTAGAGAGGTAGATCTTTGAATAGTCTGCATAGAGATGGTAGTTGAATGTGTGTTCGCAGATGAGATTACCCAAAGAAAAGATGGAGAGAGAGAGAAGGATGGGACAAAGAACAGAATTTGTGGAATGCCCCCAGGAAAGCTGAAAGGTGGGGGATGTCCTCCAAAGAACAAGCTGTGAAGTAGGAGACGACCAGGAGAGGATGGAGTCATGAAAGCTGAGGGAGGACAAGATTTCATGAAGTACAGGATCAACGGCATCAAAGGCAGCTGACAGGTCAAGGAACATGAGGCTAGAGTACTGGTTCTAAGATTTGGCTAAGAGAAAGACATTAGCGATTTTGGCAAGAGTGGTTTCAGTTGAGTGCAAGGGGTGGAAGCTCTATTGGAGACGCTCTTAGATGCAACTCTGGACAGCTGTTGTAAAGAGTGTGTTCAGTTAACTGAGAGGTGAAAAGGAGATGAGACAGTAATGGAGAGGCAAGTAGGGTCAAGAGTGACTCTTTTAAAATGAGATTGACTAAGCATGTTTGTCTTGTGTGGGGAAGAAGCCAGAGGACAGTGAGGGAGATTAAGGAGAAGAGTAGTGTAGGGCAGGGGTTCTTAATCTTTTTCTCTTGGAGGCTCCCCTCAACATGCTATAAAAAGGGTGAGCCCTCCAGGGCTCAGTGGGGGCGGGGAGGACTTGGGGCTCCGGGCCGGCAGGGGCGGTCCTTCATAGGTGTAGTTTGACTTTTATTTTGAGGGGGCAAGGGCCGGCGGGGCTTGGGCCAGCTCTACACAATGTGGTCCAGGGAGGGAGTGACCCCTCCACTCCCTGACTCACCTCAGCAGGCCACCCAGCGGGGACACAACGAAAAAATATAACTCAGAGGGTGGACTCAGTTCAAAAAGTTTGAAAACCATTCAGGGTGCAGGGAGAGGGGTAGCTCTGTGTCAGTAGGGGGTAGCTCAGGGTGCAGGGAGAGGGTAGATAGAAGCTCTGTGCTGGGAGGGCTCCCTATGCAGTGGCTGCTCTCCAAGGGCTCTGCAGCCCTGAAGCTGGGTCCCCCCGCCCAGGCAACTCTTACTGGCTGCATGAGTAGTCAAAGAGGGGTGGGAGCTGAGGAGCAGCCGCAATCCTGGGCACCAGCAGCAAACGTGGGAATGCCACAGCTGTCCGCTCTATGGCACCACCAGCCAGAGGAGCAGCTGCTCCACACTGCCTAGCTCTGGCTTCTCACCTACAACCTGGCCAGAGGGCAGGGTCTGAGGGGAACTGGGGGAGATGAGGAGGGAGAGGAGAAGCCGGAGCTGCCCCCGGGACTACCCCACTCTGGGTAAAACACTGCAGCTTGGGGGGGCAACACCCTGCCCATGGGCTCAGGGCTTCTGCCCGCGGAAGCGCTAGGGCTCAGGGCTTCAGCCATGCGCTGCTGCTGGCTTCATCCTGGGGGTGCACCCTGAGTGGGGTGATGGGGTGATCCCAGCTTCAGTTGGGGGGGTGCCAGGGCTCCTGACTTTTGTCCTGCACCGTGGCCAGCTTCTGATGGGGTGGAGGGCATTGGGGCTACCCTGCTACTCCCATCTTCAGCCTTGTGGGAGGGGCACTGGTGCTCCCAGCTTCAGCCCCACGCCGCTCCCAGCTTCAGCCCCACGCCACTCCCAGCTTCAGACCGGGGGGACACAGAGGGTCCCAGCTTCTGCCCTGCACCGCTGCTGGCTTCAGCTCTTCACTGCGCCACTGCAGGCTTCGGAGAGGGCCGGGTGCCAGGGCTTGGGGCACCGGGTTTCAGACGGCGGGCCTGTGGCCCCCCTGAAAGGTCTTGCAGACCCTTGGTTGAGATGTAGGGTATGAGAATGTGTGCAAGGGAGGTCAGGAGATGGGGCCACTGGGGTAAGTGGTGGGGTTATAGGAAGAGAGCAGATGAGAAACTTCTGAATCTGTGACCAGGGAGAAGGAGGAGAGAGTTGTAGGGGGCAATACGGGAAAGAAAGGCAAGCCAAGGGGAGAGGCATATTTTGTCAGTTTTCCCTTAAAAGAAATCGGCCCGTGCAGAGGGAGAAGTGGAATTAGGAAGAGGGAAAGGTTTGAGGAGTGAGTTAAAGGTTGTGAAATGGCAGCTGGGATTGCAGGTGTGAGATTCAGTGAAGTAGAGTTGATTAGCCTGGAAGATGGTAGAACTGAAAAAGGAGAGAACAAAGCTGTAATGGAGGAAGTGGGCCTGGTCACTGCATTTTTGCCAGAGACTCTCCACAGCAGGGAAGCAGGAGTGTAGGAAGTGGTTTTTGGGGGTGAGCCAGGGTTGGGGGCTGGCAAGGCGGACCTTTCAATGGGAGAGGGGGACAAAAGATGTAAGAGTGGAGGAGAGTGAGGAATGGAGTGAATCAGCAATGATATCAGTGGGGAAAAGATATTGTACTATGAAGAATTAAACTACACAAATTAAAATAAATGGGTAAATTTTATTTTATTATGCAGTAGCCTTGATGTTATTAAAATTGATTACTCTCTTATTTGCTCATTTGTAAAATTCTGTAATCCACAATAGGTAGCCCAGTCATTAGTACACATTAGCAAGATTCTATTCTATTACTGTTAACATCAAACACAAAAATGAGTGGGAGCATTCCACAATGTTAGTACATCATTCAGAGCACTATTTGTTGTTAATTGTTAACATATTTATATAATTGTTAAAGAACAAGAACACAAAGTAGATGGAACAACTAGAAGGAAAGGAGTAGGGAAAGAAAGAAAATATGGAGAGGGAAAGAGGACTGTTTATAGAAAGATAAGAGGAGAAAATAGAGCGGCATGAGAAAGCCAAGAGAAGGCAAATAGGCTTAGATTATAAAATGATTTCACTAATTGTTTGGACAGTTCCAGGAGTCATTAATCTGTTTTATTGTATTTGGTACCAAGCAGTGTGCAAGATTATTTCATAATACCAGGGAGAGAAAGGCAGGGAGCTAATATTAAATCTAATTGGAGTTATTTGCAGAAAGATATTGCAAGATATTGAGCACCTTCTATTCATGTTAAAGTGAATGGGATGGGAGTGTACTGTGCTCAGTACCTCCAGGATTGGGCCCAAATCTCACACATGTTGAGGGGAGAATAGAGCCTACAGTAATAGAGAATGGTGTGCTACTTTTTTCAATTTGTCTGTATGCAAAAAAATAACTCCAGTTAAAATATACCAGTTCTAAAAGGAAAACAGCCTGCTATTTTTTGCCCTGATTCTGCAAGCCCTTACTTGCATGATTAGCTTTGAGTTCAATGGAACTACCCATGTGAAAAGTTATCCACGTGTATAAGTGTTTGCAGGATTGGGGCCTTTGGTTCATTTGGCTACCAAATACCATATTTTGGCATTATATAAGTTCTATATATGTTTTAAACATTTTTGGTTGGGATATTTGCTTTCAGATCGTGATGCTGTTTTGGAGCTGGAAAACAAATTAAAGGAAACCCGGAAGACCGCAGGAATTAATGCATTATATTATGCAGGAATGTTTCTGTGGTTGATGGGTAAAAATGATAAAGCAAATGAATACATTGACAGAATGCTGAAAATGTCTAATGGATCTAGAGAGGTAATGTATATAAAGGTTTTTCACCCATAAGACAAATGTCTGGCTGAAGTTCTTAATATTTAAAATTAAATGTAATCACAGTTTTAATTAGATGGTAAAAAATAAACCGGCAAAACATAGTCTACTATCCTTAAACTTAGATTTACCTAGATGTAAATATCTTGTTTCATACACAAGCTGAGGTGAGAGCTGTTTGATGCTGTTTTTAGAACAGTTTGAAGTGGATGTCTCCACCTCAATCCAAAGCAATATTTTTTTGCAAAGGAAAATAACTACATGCTGAGTTTCCACCATGAAAAATGGCACTGGCTTTACTCACTGTGTACAAATACATTTGTGTACACTTTGAACAAAAACATTACTACTGTGTGCAAATATATTGTTTGTTGTAAAAACTGATGAAACAATTTTCACAGTACACAGATGATCAAAACACTAGTGTGTGTGTGTGATGCTACTGACTTGAAACGAATGAAGCAAATTGTTTCATCGCGGTGCTGTGGAGTAGGACAACTATCACACAAGTATGCCATGATGGGCCATCTTCTATTGTAAATGTGAGGTCGCTCCACTGACATCAGTGGAGTTAATCGATGTAACTGGGCACAGATTCTGTCCATAATTACACAGCCTTCATGCAGATTACCTTGGACTGTGTGCAATTTCTGGGAAGGCCCAACAGCCTGTGCTATAGAGAGGCAAACTCTATACTTTGATGAAATTTTTTTTGGAGGAATTCAGCCAGGGAAGACTCAAGATTTTTCCTTCTCTTGAATTCCCTCCCATGGATTTCATCACAGAAGAAAGCAGACTGGCCACAGAAGCAATATTGAACATGCAAAAAATTAGACAAGCTGGTCACATCTGTCACATGTTAACACATGCCACAGGGTGTGGATATTTATATATTGAAGTTTTGATGGATACACAACAACAGGTGGATGACAAATCCAGCCAAATTTCTCAATAAATATAATAGTTGAGGTTTTTTTCTGAAAATTCTCATCCATCTGTTGATGTGTTGCATCGGAGAATTTAATAGTTTTGACTCCTAATTAAATGGTAAGACAACAATTGCGGGGGGGCGGGGAGTGTGTTCTGGTTTTATCCATATATATTGCCAGTGGAGGATGACCCTTCTAACCAAGATTGTGTGCAATGGCTAATTCAAATATTTGCCAGAATACTGACTTTGAGAATGTTTGAGTCTTGGTCTGTCATTTTTCTTCTGTCAGTAATAACAAAAATCCATTTTATAATCAAGGTAAGGCGCTGAAGGGTGTGCTTCATTGTGCTTAAATGGCAGCTCTTGGTTGGCTAGGCACTTGACCATAATGTTCATTGAATTTTAGTGAGGAGGATGCTCTTGTAATTTTAAAGACAGGTGTATTGTTATTAGGCTGCATCAGTTATTGCTATGTATGGCTGAAAGTGATGCTGCTTTCTGATGTTATACCTCTTGTGGCTTAAAATAATTTTCAAAGGTGGTTAGAGATTGTGAGAGGTATCTTTTTATTATTTTTATGCATTTAAATATTTAAACAAAAATAAATGTACTTGAGACAAGAAATTAGGACTTTTCACTGCATATTATGATTTGCCTATTGTGTAACTTAAAATATATGGATTTTTTTTTTTTTTTACCTTCACAGGGTCTTGTGCTTAAAGGATGGGTGTACTGTACATCTGACAAACAGCATGCTGTTAAGAAATCTATCAAATACCTTGATGAAGGGATACAAGACACCACCGATATATTTGGGATGATGGGAAAGGTATGATTGTTAATTCTTGGGGGGGTTTTAACTCTATTTTATACTTTCCTTCTTACTTCACTCATTGTCATTGGACTTCATTTTTGACAGAGAGGACACAAGACAACTTCCTTTTCCTGTGCCCACACATAGCATTGTTGACCCCTAGGTTGCTTTCCAGAAATATACAACCTGTTTTCAAAGTGATTTAGGCACCTAAAATGCAGATAGGTGCCTTGTGAGATTTTCAAAAGTGCCTAAGCAGGTTCAGTGCCTAACTCCCATTAACTTCCAGCTCCTCCCTTGCTAGTCCTGGCCATGAAAGTGGGTAGAGAATGGAAGATGCTGGTATGCAGTTCTCTAAAATGGTTACTGGTGAGTCTTGTGATGACTGTGTGGGGAGGACTTGGAGGCCCTGAATTTAATCCCCCTTCTTGTTGGCTCCAGTGATAAGTGATCTGGATCTTTTGCTGGTTCAAGTAATGAAGCAGATGGTAATTAGCTACCAATTTAATGATATTCCTTTAGCATATTAGTACAATCTGCCACTTTTCTGAATCAATGAGATTGTTTTTCTTTTTTTTTCCTCCATAGGCAAGATATTTCATGATGCAACAGAACTATTCAGGTGCTCTGGAAGTAGTTAACCAAATAATAGTCAATTTTTCTGGTTTCATACCAGCATATATCCTCAAGATGAGGCTATTTTTAGCTCAGCAAGACTGGGAGCAAACTTTAGAAACTGCACTAAGGTAGGGGATAATAAAAACCAAACAAACCCAGTACAGACTAAGATATGTGATTTCCTTTCTAAATTCTATTACATGCCTCTATAAAGTTGTAACACATATATTTGTAAAGTAAGGGTATATTTCTTCTTCAAATTCATTTACTCAAAATACATTTAACAACTTAAAATATTTTAAGCAATTTTCTTCCATGAGGTCCCAGACTAATTTTTCCTGATATTAAGCACAGTTTCATGGTAACTGAAGTGTGTGTCCCTGGGACAGCATTTGTTATTTATATCAGAGTGTAAATTCTCAGATTATGTATAGTAGCAAAAAAGCCTATCCAGCAGTGTCTCAGAGCTCAGGTCAACTGTCTTAGGCTTGTAGGGCTTGTGATATGGGACTGAAAATAGCCATGTAGACATTCACGCTCAGGCTGCAGCCATGGGCTCTGAGATCCCCCCCCTCTCAACAGATCTCAGAGCCTGGGCTCCAGCCTGAGCCCGAATGTCTATTCAGCTATTTTTAGCCCCGTGGTGTGAGCCCAAGTCAATTTTTGATCTGAGCTCTGAAACTCACTGTCATGGGGTTTTCTTTGCTGTGTAGATGTACCCTTCGGTACTCTAGAGCCACCGTTTTTCCTACTTTCTATTTACCACAATTAGAAATGTATCGTTTATGAAGCTTTAACTCAATGATTAGATTATCTTTCAACATCAGAAAACAAGCTGAATCTATTAAAAATAACTGTATGTACTGTATTCTGTTTTGTTTTGTAAAACTTACAACTTACATATAATACATATAATAATTATTGTTTAAGAATCCTGAGTAAAGATGGGACCAATATAGATGGACTTCAAGCTAGTATTGTAAATGAGCTTTCAAGAACTGGAAACTTGAATGCTGTGAGTATTCTATATTTACAAGTATTTGAAGTATAAAGTTGAGGCCTTGATTTTTTTGTGATCCTTAAAGACCTCATGGTATTTTTTCAAGAGAAGTGGTATGAAGAGGTTCTAATCCTAGAAGACACCCCAATACTCCATGAATCCCAAACCATCCTCTGTCACTGTAGGAGCATATCCTTATATTTCCAATATCAGTATTATACTTTCATTCACACTTGATGCTGGAATGAAGTCTTCAAAGCTGACCTGTGTCAATCCCATCTTTAGACTCCTTCCAGGTTTCTGAAGTGCAAGGGATGGATTAGATGGCCTTCTAGAGGTGCTTTTTAGCTCAAGTAGTTCTGTGATTTTTAAGAGCAATAAGATGAAATGTAGTTGGTGGGAAGGCATGTGAGCCAGTTTATTGTTAGTATCCTAAACTGTTATAAATGTACTCTGTAAATCACAATGCTAATTTACTTGGCCAAGTGGTTTCTGCAGTTAGAATAAAATTCATCCAGCAGCACAATGGTGATGGAAGACTGCAACAGAACATTCGTAATTCTGCTGTAGAACAGAAGTACAGGGAGAGTTCACAACATTGTCCTGTGACATAGCTGATGTAGGCTTTTGTGGAGTAGGGGTTGGAGAAGGCTGATGAAGAGACAGAGGAGAGATCAGTGGGTTCATGATTATGAAGCCCATGGGCTTGAGTAGCAGCCACTGAGTCCTGTATCTTGCCTGCTGACTTGATGATGGATTCTATACTCCATCCCAACACAGTCCCCTACACAAAACCAGTCTACGCAGACTTCATTTGGTGGTCATGAATTTTACCCTGTGTAACATTCAGAGGACTCTTGTGTAAAGAATGGTAGTATTATCTGAATTATTGTCTCTAATTTTGAAATAAATTCATTAGTTCATTAAATTTTTTTTCTGCAGGCATCATTTCAACTTAGAGATTTTATTCATTCTTTGGAGACTAAGGAACCTCAAAATGCAGACTTACATCTTCGAAAAATCCTTGTGGTCAGTAGATTGGTAAGCATATTTGTTTAAAAACTGATAGTAATTATGCATCTGTGGAAGCAACTACATAGTTGCAGTTGTAACTAGTTTTCCATTATAGGTCTATTCTGGACCTCTCTGATTCAGTCTCCAAAAAAGAAAAAGAAAAAATCCTTTCCAGCTTAAATGTCCTTTGTGACATCTGATGAAAGTACTTTTTTTTTTTTTCCTGTAAAGTTTTGGTGCAATTGCTCAAAACATCTGAGAGAGATGAGAGTTTTGAAAATGTAGGTTTTCAGTTTGGCAAAAGTCTTAGCTTTTTTTAAAAAAATCACCTCCAAATGTCTCTGTCTATTAAATTAGTTTGTTTTATTCATCTGCACTCGGTAAGAGCTACTTTCTTTGAGTGCTTTGGGGAACATTACATGGTTAATATTAGAATTACTTGATATGGGCATTATCATGCCACTCTAACTCACATTGGTTAGAACCTTACTCCACAAATAGTCCTTTTTGCCTCAGTGGTGCATACTCACAGACAAAGGTAGTGCTCAACAGGAGTAATTGTGACAGTATCTGGCCTATGGATTTTAGAACCTGTTCATTATTATGTTTGTTAAACATTTACATTGCTGTAGTGTCTGGAGACCTCAATCAGGTTGTAGCCACATTGTGCTGGGCACTGTCTAAACATATAGGGAGTGGAAGAAGGGAGGGATCAGTAAGGAAAGCTACCTTATTGAGGTCAGAATATGTAGGGATAAAGTGAGACAGGCTAAAAGTCAAGTAGAGTTGGACCTTGCAAAGGGAATTAAAACCAATAGTAAAAGGTTCTATAGTCATATAAATAGGAAGAAAACAAAGAAAGAAGAAGTGGGACCGCTAAAAACTGAGGATGGAGTGGAGGTCAAGGATAATCTAGGCATGGCCCAATATCTAAACAAATACTTTGCCTCAGTCTTTAATAAGACTAAAGAGGATCTTAGGGATAATGGTAGCATGATAAATGGGAATGAGGATATGGAGGTAGACATCACCATATCTGAGGTAGAAGTGAAACTCAAACAGCTTAATGGGACTAAATCGGGGGCCCAGATAATCTTCATCCAAGAATATTAAAAGAATTGGCACAAGAAATTGCAAGCCCATTAGCAAGAATTTTTAATGATCTGTAAACTCAGGGGTTGTACCGTATGATTGGAGAATTGCTAACATAGTTCCTATTTTTAAGAAAGGGAAAAAAAGTGATCCAAGTAATTATAGGCCTGTTAGTTTGACATCTGTAGTATGCAAGGTCTTGGAAAAATTTTGAAGGAGAAGGTAGTTAAGGACATTGAAGTCAGTGGTAAAGGGACAAAATACAACAGGTTTTACAAAAGGTAGATCGTGCCAAACCAACCTGATCTCCTTCTTTGAGAGAGTAACAGATTTTTTAGATAAAGGAAACGCAGTGGATCTAATTTACTTAGATTTTAGTAAGGCGTTTGATACTGTGCCACATGGGGAATTATTAGTTAAATTGGATAAGATGGGCATCAATAGGAAAATTGAAAGGTGGATAGGGAATTGGTTAAAGGGGAGACTACAACGGGTCCTACTGAAAGGTGAACGTCAAGTTGGAGGGAGGTTACCAGTGGAGTTCCTCAAGGATCAGTTTTGGGACCAATCTTATTTAATCTTTTTATTACTGACCGGGCACAAAAAGTGGGAATGTGCTAATAAAGTTTGCAGATGATACAAAGCTGGGAGGTATTGCTAATTTAGAGAAGGACAGGGATACCCTACAGGAGGATCTGGATGACCTTGTAAACTGGAGTAATAGGAATAGGATGAAATTTAATAGTGAGAAGTGTAAGGTCATGCATTTAGGGATTAATAACAAAATTTTAGTTATAAGCTAGGGCGCATCAACTAGAAGTAACGGAGGAGGAAAAGGACCTTGGAGTATTGGTTGATCATAGGATGACTATGAGCTGCCAATGTGATATAGCTGTGAAAAAGCTAATGTCATCTTGGGATGCATCAGGAGAGGTATTTCCAGTAGGGATAAGGAGGTTTTAGTACCATTATATAAGGCACTGGTGAGACCTCACCTGGAATACTGTGTGCAGTTCTGGTCTCCCATGTTTAAGAAGGATGAATTCAAACTGGAACAGGTACAGAGAAGGGCTACTGGGATGATCCGAGGAATGGAAAACTTGTCTTATGAAAGGAGACTCAGGGAGCTTGGCTTGTTTAGCCTAACTAAAAGAAGGTTGAGGGGAGATATGATTGCTCTCTATAAATATATCAGAGGGATAAATACCAGAGAGGGAGAGGAATTATTTAAACTCAGTACCAATGTGGACACAAGAACAAATGGATATAAACTGGCCACTAGGAAATTTAGATTAGAAATTAGACGAAGGTTTCTAACCATCAGAGGAGTGAAGTTTTGGAATAGCCTTCCGAGGGAAGTAGTGGGGGCAAAAGATCTATCTTGCTTTAAGATTAAACTCGATAAGTTTATGGAGGAGATGGTATGATGGGATAACATGGTTTTGGTAATTAAATATTCATGGTAAATAGGCCCAATGGCCTGTGATGGGTTTTTAGATGGGGTAAGATCCAAGTTACCCGGGAAAGAATTTTCTGTAGTATCTGGCTGATGAATCTTGCCCATATGCTCAGGGTTTAGCTGATCGCCATATTTGGGGTCGGGAAGGAACTTTCCTCCAGGGCAGATTGGAAGGCCCTGGAGGTTTTTGCCTTCCTCTGTAGCATGGGGCACGGGTCACTTGCTGGAGGATTCTCTGCTCCTTGAGGTCTTCAAACTACAATTTGAGGACTTCAATAGCACAGATATAGGTGTGAGGTCTTTTTAGGAGTGGTGGGTGAAATTCTGTGGCCTGCATTGTGCAGGAGGTCAGACTAGATGATCATAATGGTCCCTTCTGGCCTAAATATCTATGAATCTATGAACATAGAGAAAATGACAGTCCTTTCCCCCAGAGAACTTACAAACTTAAGGGTCTGACTTTTCTGCAGAGTTCATAAAATCTACAATGCTAAGAAGTTTGCAGGGATAACTTTGAAGAAATGTTGCAAGCAGAAGACCGAGATTCATTAGTTAGCACAGTGTTATCTGGCATAGCTATTATCTAGAATATGTCAGTCACATATTCAGACAATTTCACAGGAAATAATTGCACATAACAGAGGAACCAGCATTTTTCCTTGACAACTTCTACCCAGACCTAGAACTCAATGATTCTGGCTTTGTTATAGGTGAAGTGGGCTCACCCTTAATATTGGAGACAAGCTCTATGAATAATACATAATATGTTTGGCCACCCATTGGATATTCCTCAGAAATGAAGTCCCAACCACATTGACTTCAGTAGAGCCGTGATTTCACTCCAAATATTCCATTTGCCGCTTGGTATTCCAAGCCAGTGGGCCTATTTTATTGTTAACTATTTTGTAGATTTGTTATATTTAAGTACTTATTTTCCCTCTATTTTATCTTGACTGAATTGGAATTTCTTGTGAAATTGTTTCTTTATATTCTGTACATTGTTCAGTAGTCCATGTGAATTTTGTTACTTTCAGTGTGGGAAAAATCAGCAAATCTTGAAGCTAATATATGGATTTATTGAACGCTCGTATACAAAATTAAAGTCTTCAGATGCATGTTTTGCTAATGAACTGGGATATCAACTGATTCTTCAGGGGAAGTGGAAAGATGCTTCTGTGTGGTATAGAAGAGCCATGGAGCTGGATGAAAGCAGTGTAGATGCTCTAACAGGTAGGGTTGGTTTGGTATTTTTAAGAGGACTCTGATAATTTTAAGCTCTTTGGGACAGAGAATTTGCCTTCCTTTATGTTTGGAAAGTGTTAGCACATTGTGGATGCTATTGGAAACAATAGTAATATTTCAAGACACCAGCTACTTCAGTTTTTTTTATTAACAAATATAATATCTGAATGCAACTGGGTTTGATCAATGTTCTTGGTTTTCCTTTTTTGCATTAACATTTGTATTTTTACATACACTCATATATATGGAGTATGTGGGCCAGATCCTTGGGCTGGGCTAAGTCCCTTTTGCACTGCTTCAGTGGTGCAAAAGGGGTTTATAACTGCCCCAAAAAGGGCAGGTGGGGGATTCTTCTACCAAAGGGGAAAATTTGATATTACAAGCCCATAAGGTCTTTTGTATGTTTGCATAGATACTAATGTCATCCACACCAGAAAAATCTGAAAACAAGTCATCCCTATCTACTAACTGCAATAAAGTTTTCAAATGTGCAGGAGTTCTATGAACTTACAGGCTATGAAGGCCTTTACTCATCACTTCAATCGCAGCTTGTGTTCACATCCACTGAATCTCCTCATGAAGTCTCTGTTTATTATGCTTCTCACAGTGTTTCTCCATCTCCTCCTGGTAGCTGTACAGTATCTGCAGCTTCTGCATTTCTAAGTGCAACCTTTTCAGTTCCAACTCTGTTGGTGCCATTGTTGCTCATGCATTCCTGCATCTGGGCACTACCTTCCATACTCCTGAACAGCTTTACCTTAACCTGAGAGATTTTCTGGTTTTGTCCTTGTGGCATCTTCCTCAAGGCACCCAGACGTGTTACTCCAGTGCCTCAGCAAGTAAGAGCTATGCGGCTGCTAAGCTGTGTATCAGCCTCCTGACTCACCAGCTTGTCTGCCTTGCAAGCAAACTCTTCAAGACTATGCCAGTCTAAAATCTTGCCTTGCACTTTCCTGTCCCCAAGTTCCCCAGCAATGTTTCCATGCAGTATCCAGTCCCTCTCAAAAGGGGGACTGAAACTATAAAATCCGGGGCAAACACCCCAAAACATTCCTCTCTCTCCCTCCGCTTTGCATTCACTGTACATGAAGAGACAAAAGAAACAGCCTTTGGACTTTGGGGGAGGGTTGCTGACCTAAAGAGTTTGGTCGTAAGACTGCTGTTAAAACATGTGGTGAGAAAACTTTGCTTTGAATCTAATATAGTTGGTTAAGTTAGGCACCAGTAAGTGTTTTATCTTTATTTTTCATGTAACCATTTCTAAACTTTCTACCTCATTACATGTACTCACTTAAAATCTATATCTTTGTAGTTAATAAACTTGTAGATATAATACAGTGTGTTCAAGTTGAAGTGTCTGGGTAACTCCTTTTGAGGTAACAAGTTGTGTGCATATTATTCCCTTAAAGGAATAATGGATGTGACATATTTGTACTGTCCAGGAGAGGGCTGGGCCGTACAGAATGTACATTTCTGGGGAAAGATCTGGGTCTGGGAGTGTGTTGGGTCACTCTGCAGCATAACCGAGGCTGGTAAGAGCCAAGGGGCGGCTGGCTGGCTGGCTGGCTGCAGCGCGCACGCACACGCGCGCACACACACACACACACACACACACAGCTGGGAGAGACTTACATGCTGGAGGCTGTTTGTGAGCAGTCCAGGTTGGAGGCTACAGCAGCAAGGCATTGTGAAGGGCACCCCAGGTTACCGGGCAGGGGTGGTACAGATACTCATTAGTCTGGATTGTACCCTGGTATGTCACACATGCCCAGTGCAGATGGAATCTTTGGGAATTTAGCTGCAAAGTTCTAGTAAGTCACTACTGCGCAGGTGCGAACTACAATTTTTCAAAGGCTTAAATTTAACCAAAATTGGGCAGATTTTAACAGGAACAGCAAAAGACACATCCCAGACACAAAGACCTGCCCCTTGCCAATTTCAAGTCCCTGTTCCAAAGCACAAGCAAGAGCTTCTCAAAGAAAAGGTTGCTATGTTTTTTTAACATTGAGAAAACAGCATATTTTTCCTAGTTTTGCTCTTAAAAATTGTTGACATTTAAATTTTGAAAAAATTCAACTTGAAGTAAACACCCAGAGTGGAAAATTTCAGCCCAAATAGTTAAATTTGGCAAAGTTATAAGCAACTGAAAACAAGAGTCTTAAATTGGGAAGTGTTTGGACAGCCTTAATAACGGGCGGAGCTAGCGGTCTGACTTATAATGCTCTTTTGTTAGAGCTGCAGTCTTGTAAGTGCTGCAAATCTCAAAAAGAAAAGCATGCCTAGGGCCCAATCTTGCAATGTAGTAATAGCTCCTTTATCACTGAAATCAACGTCAGTTGAGGGCACATAACACTTAGTACCTTGCAAGATAGGCCCCAGTTCAGCAAAGCACTTAAACAGTTATTTAACTTTAAACTAGAGCTGTTAATTAATTGCAGCTAACTCACGCGATTAACTCAAAAAAATTAATCGTAGTTTTAATCGCACTGTTAAAAAATAAAATATCAATTGAAATTTATTAAATATTTTGGATGCTTTTCTACATTTTCATATAAATTGTATTCTGTGTTGTAACTGACATAAAAAGTGTACGAAAACAAAACAATGTAAAACTTCAGAGCCTACAAGTCCACTCAGTCCTCCTCGTTCAGCCAATTGCTAAGACAAACAAGTTTTTTTACATTTACAGGAGATAATGCTATCCTCTTCTTAGAATCATAGAAGATTAGGGTTGGAAGAGACCTCAGGAGGTCATCTAGTCCAACCCCCTGTTCAAAGCAGGACCAACGCCAACTAAATCATCCCAACTGGGGCTTTGTCAATCCTGACCTTAAAAACCTCTAAGGATGGAGATTCCACTACCTGCGTAGGTAACTTATTCCAGTGCTTCACCACGCTCCTAGTAAAATAGTTTTTCCTAATATCCAACCTAGACCTCCCACACTGCAACTTGAGACCACTGCTCCTTGTTCTGTTACCTGCCACCACTGAGAGCAGTTTAGCTCCATCCTCTTTGGAACCCCCCTTCAGGTAATTGAAGGCTGCTGTCAAATCCTCACTCATTTTTCTCTTCTGCAGACTAAATAAGCCCAATTCCCTCAGCTTCTCCTCATAATTCATGTGCCCCAGCCCCCTAATCATTTTCCTTGCCCTCCGCTGGACTCTCTCCAATTTGTCCACATACTTTCTGTAGTGGGGGGGCCCAAAACTGGACGCAATACTCCAGATGTGGTCTCATCAGTGCCGAATAGAGGGGAATAATCACTTCTCTCGATCTGCTGACAATGCTCCTACTTTTGTAGCCGACATTGCAAGGTATTTACGTGCCAGATATGCTAAATATTCATTTGTCCCTTTGTGCTTTGGCCACCATTCCAGAGGACATGCTGATGACACTCGTTTAAAAAAAAAAAAGTTAATTAAATTTGTGTCTGAACTCCTTGGGGGAGAATTGTATGTCCCCTGCTCTGTTTTACGTGCGTTCTGCCATATATTTCATGTTGTAGCAATCTTGGATGATGACCCAGCACATGTGGTTCATTTTAAGAACACTTTCACTGCAGATTTGACAAAACGCAAAAAAGGTACCAATGTGAGATTTCTAAAGATAACTACAGCACTTGACCCAAGATTTAAGAATCTCAAGTGCCTTCCAAAATCTGATCAGGAGGGGGTCTGGAGCATACTCCACACTCTGGTGCGGAAACTACAGAATCCGAACCACCAAAAAAAAATCAACGTTCTGGTGGTGGCATCTGACTCAGATAATGAAAATGAACATGGTCCACACTGCTTTGGATTGTTCTCAAGTAGAACCCATCATCAGCATGGAAGCATGTGCCCTGGAGTGGTGGTTGAAGCATGAAAGGACTTATGAATTTTTAGTGCATATGGCATGTAAATATCTTGCGATGTCAGCTATGACAGTGCCATGAGAACGCCTGTTCTCACTTTCAGGTGGCATTGTAAACAAGAAGCGGGCAGCATTATCTCCTGCAAATGTAAACAAACTTGTTTGTTTGAGTGATTGGCTGTACAAGAAGTAGGACTGAGTGGACTTGCAGGCTCTAAAATTTTACATTGTTTTATTTTTGAATGCAGTTTATTTTGTATATAATTCTACTTTTGTAGGTTCAACTTTCATGATAGAGATTGTACTACAGTACCTGTATTAGGTGAATTGCAAAATACGATTTCTTTTGGTTTTTTACAGTGCAAATACTTGTAATCAAAAATAAATATTAAGTGAGCACTGTACACTTTGTATTCTGTGTTGTAATTGAAATCAATATATTTGAAAATCTAGAAAATAACCAAAATATTTAAATAAATGGTATTGTATAATTAATCGTGTGATTAATCGCACTATTCATCGTGATTAATTTTTTAATCGCTTGACAGCCCTACTTTAAACACATTTTAAAATTCCACTGAAGCTAAGATTCAAGCACATGCCTAAAGTTAAGAACATGCAAAAGTGTTTTGGTGATTGTTCAGTTTGGATAATAATGTGGAGCACAGATCAATTTAACATTTTTTTTATCAATTTAGAAAGAACTTTTTTAGTATTTGCCCACACGGACTGTACTATAGGTATGCATATGCCCCATGCACATCAGATCAGATTTGTTCAGCAGTGGCCTGTAAGTCTGCACTTGTGCCCTACATGTCCTCAACCCCTCACGCAAGGGCATAAAGGATGGAAAGGGACCATCTGCCACTCAGTTCCTTCTTACAACCTGTGGCAGCAAGATAGAACTTCCTTTGTGTCCTATTTACCCTGTAGCTGTATCTTTCTCATTCTTCTGACCGTTAGTGTTAGTTCTTATAGTTATTAGTACCTAGTTAGGCCATTGGCTCTTTTAACAAAGTTGGGAGGAATTTTAGTTTCCTCACGTTACCTTGGTACTATACTTAGCTTCCATCACAGGGATGGTGCCTAAGTCTCCAGATTTTAAAATCCTTCTAGCCTGTGTGGCAGCTATCCCCTTAACTGATGTGTATGTTAAGTGTGTTTCTGGCCTTAGAGAGGGACACGTCCCTGAAAAATATTTGCTCTGTAGATTTTTTTCAAATGTCACCTAACAGGCTGGAGACCTCTGATTGAAATTATTTTTGTTAAAGTGCTAAATAAAAGGTGTGCCTGGTTCTGAGACCCCTTTGTGAAAAGAAGCTCCTGTTGCTTCAAAACTCTATTTAGCCAGTGGTCCTGGATCCTGAGTTTCCTTGGACTCGAAGACACCTAGCACCTCAACAAAGTCTACTGACATGGTCACACAGATCCCCTTGGGTCAGTCAGTTGCTCCTCCTGTCCATGGTAGGAAAGAGTACTGCTCTAAGACTGTGTCCTGGCACCAATCACTGTCACCAGTTTATAGAGTTGCTTCTTGATTCAAAGTCAGCAGGGGTTTGTCTCCCTCCAGAGAGGTTTGACACCACGAGTCGTCTGATATCAGATCTTAAGATTCAGCCAAGGACATCAGTGAAAGTCTCTCTCAGACTTCTGGGTCATGTGACCTCTTGTACAGACATGACACCGCCGTGTTATGTCTCTGTCCACTCCAGCGATGACTAAAGTTAGTCTATCAGCCAAACAGATGGCGTGAATCTGCAAGTAGTCATACTGAGAAGATCCTATCACCACTACTCTGGTGGAAGGATCCACTAAATGTCTGCTACGGTGCCAATCAGAATGAGATCTGTATGAAAAAATACCTGAAGAAAAACGGTTACTTACCTTAGAGTAACTGTGGTTCTTCAAGATGTTTTGTCCACATGGATCCCATAACCTGCCCTTCTTGCTAATGCAGAGCTCTTTAAACTTGGGATTCTGTATTGGTGAAGGAACTGAGTGGAAGTTGGGGCTTCGCTGCCCTTTATGCCCTTGAATGAAGGGCTCATTGTATACGCAGGGTGCACGAACAGCCCAATGAACATTGCTGGTCCAAAGAATCCAATCTCATGCACACAGGGTGCTTGTGTACCTTTTTTATTGTTGTGGTTAAATGTCCTTTTTATGTATTTCTAAGCACTTGACATGTTGTTGTATTACAGGTATTATTTGGTGCCAGGTGCTGGAAGGGAAGCTGGATGAAGCAGAGCACCAGCTGGAATTCTTAAAGGAAGTTCAGCAGTCCATTGGAAAATCTGCGGTTAGATATAGAAATACAATTGTTTTTCTTTATTTTTGTTCTTCATTTCTACACATGTTCCAGGCACATTGAACGCCTTTAAAATTCTGTGCAGTTATGCTGGTGTAAATCCAGATTAACTTCATGGACTGACAGAATCTGTCCCACAAACATTAAGAAAATATATTAAATCAATCTTCAGAACTAGACTGTCTAAAAACTTTCTCAACTCCATTCCCCCACACAATTCGTCCTCCTTGGGAAAAGCAGTCTTGAAGTCTTGCTAAGTCTTGAAGGATGTTCTGAAGGCTACCAAATCTGGGCTCTAGATGATCAAGGTGAGAAAAATGTTCCAGAATCAAGGATCCTGCACAGAAAACACTACTGCCAGCCTCCTTTCATTTAGTCAGGGTTGTTAGCTGCAGCTATGATTGCAATTGCTTTTGTAGCACATGGGGAAAGAGACAGTCTTTTAAGCAGATAGTCCCTGCCATTTAGGAATTTATAGGTCAAAATCAATGTCAGTGTTCATCTGGAAATGGATGTGCAGACCCTGGAACACACATGTAATGTGCACCCATTGGGGGATGCTTCTTAACAAGTGGACCACATTCTGCTCTAGCTGTAGTTTCTGAATGCTTCTAAGGTGCAACACCATCTGTGGTTCAGTCATGCAAGATGCTGAGTACTTTACCCCCAGTCTAGCAAAGCACTTAAAGCACATGCTTCTCTTATGATTTAGTAGTGTTTTACACTCATTTGTTACTTATTTGCGTGGATGTAAATGATTATACAAAGCCCTAAAGGTCAAACATTTAGACAAGGGATAGGATAGTTCCCAAAATAAAACACACAATTTGATGTAAACGGATATAAGTAGCCTAAAACTACCTTCAGATGATCACTCTGTGTTTGCCCTGAAATCCACTGGAGTTATGTGCACTTATCTAAAGACAGCATTTGTCCTAATATAGTAAAATATGGGAATTTTCCTTTTCACAGGTTCTAGTTTATCTTCAGGCAGTTATTGCTTCAAAGAAAAACAAGAATGAACCAGTTGCAACTGCCCTTCTGAATGAAGCTGCAGAACTTCATTTTTCTGCTTTGCATGGCCTTCCTCTGAGCATGGAATACTATGAAAAACTAAACCCCATGTTCCTGATTGAAATCGTGAAGGAATATTTAGTCTTCTGTCCCAAACAGGTGGGAATTATTTTAGATTAAATATTTAGTATTGATTTATTATCTGTTTATATTTAACTTTGATATTGTAATTTAGAAATCTAGATGTTTAATTTCTGCAGAATACATGCCCATAACTTTCATTGATCTTATGAGGCGATATATGTAGAAATGGAGGAGAGACTAGACACCAATATATTTTTTTTTGAAATGGTACTCTGTATATTACACTTCTGGAAAATATGTAGTAAGGCCAGTCTAATTCTTAATTTTTCATAGCCTAGGTCACCCGGTCAAATTGTATCTCCTTTTCTTAAACAAGCAGCTGTAATTTTGAATCCAGTGGTTAAAGCTTCTCCTGGTATGCTGGAGCCTCTTTATCTAATGGCACAAGTTAAATATTTATCAGGTAAGACAAGACCATGTTGTTAAATCCAAATAAAAATAAAAATTTACATGCTAAGAAATGATTAAGCTTAAGACTCATTGACTGCTAGAACACATTCTGAAAATTTGGGTTAAACTGAGTTAGTACCTCTTGATGTATGCAGTGTTGTTGTATCCATGTTGGTCCCAGGACATTAGAGAGAAAAGATGGGTGAGGTAATATCTTTTATTGGCCCAGCTTCTGTTGGTGAGAGAGACCAGCTTTAGAGCTTACAGACTTCTTCTTCAGGTCTGGGACAATCCCACCAACAGAATTTGGTTCAATAAAAGATATTACCTTGCCCACCTTGTCTCTTAGTACCTTTTGATGTATTATGCTTCTTTGTGTCCCTCAGTTTGTCCAATGAAATTACATTACACCACAAAATTTGAAACATAGGTGGATTTTGACACTGGCTTATGCAAGTGGCAGTTTTCAAGGGTAGGAGTAGTAAAATATTTAGAAATTTGTCATTAGTTGGTCTCTGATAATGAAACTGAGAGAGAAGAAAATGTGATCATTAGGAATATATTAATTATTGGGATTAAACCAGCCATTATCACTATTTCTCAAAAGTGGAAAAAAATGCTAGTATCTGATGAAAATACTACTCCTGTTTCATTTCCAACTAAATATTCCCTTGGCCTTATGGGCACAGATCCAGTCTCCAGAGATTGTAATGAAAGAGCAAAAAATGTAAATAACTGCCAACGGCTATATAAGACATTTGTGCCATTGAGTGTCTGCACTGAATGAGGTGGGTCTCTGTGGGAGCCATTACTAGCCTGGCTGGAACTACACCATCCTTTAATTAAATTATCTGGAAAAATGCCCCTTTATTTAAAATTATTCCAAAGCAGTACTGGAGAACAGAAGAACTGGAGAGCTACTTCATTGCTGAAGTCCAAGTTGTGACACCACCATATAATCACGGTGGGACATCTTTATTTCACACTGTAAACTGAAATGAGATTTTGCACCTATATGTTGTCACTGAGACTCAACATACTCATATATTCCTCCAAAGTATGGGGTTTATATTTGTATAGGCAATAGTTAGAGAGTTCCCCTCTCAAGGGATTTATTATCATTTCTAAATTGATGCCAAGACACTACAGTGATGAATGTTTTGAAGTAAAAATAATAATGTAAAAGCATGAGGCAAAAGTCATAACAATGCCAAGATATCATACCAGAACTATTTTGTGGTTCTCTCCTACTCATTAAACATCGTATTTCCAGTCTTCTCATTTGGGGAAAAAACAGAAGGTTGTTTCTTCTCTCCTTTGTCGTCTCTCCCGTTCTTGGTTGCTGGGAGAGAAGTACAGTAATATTCTGGTGATTCTTACTCCAGGAGTCAGAATGCTATTTCCCTGCGTCACACAGCAGGGCTTCTCTGATTGATGCTCCTTTAACTGCCAGAGATCCAAGCAGAGCAAATGAGTTTTCATCAGATCTGCAAAGTCAGTAAGAACTACATGTAAGACTGTAAAGAATACCACCCAGCTGTAGAATATATTTGACAAACTGGCACTTTGTACATGCTCTGTACATCATGTTTTATTTATGTTATGCTCTCATTCTTAAAGAGGAATTATATGCTTCATAGGTTAAAGGCTCTGGCTCTTTTCTCATACTGACATACTGAGATACTGACAGCATCATGACACATATCAGACATTACATTTGCGGTATATTCACGTTGCTTATTTAAGACAGTTTATAAGAAAAGCAGGTCAAAAACAAAAGAAAATGGTCAGTTGTTTTTCAGGTGAGTTGGAAAATGCACAGGGTACTCTGCAACGTTGTCTAGATTTGGACCCTACATCAGCGGATGTCCATCTTCTAATGGCCCAGATCTATCTGTCTCAAGGAAATTTCAGAGAGTGTTCTCATTCATTGGAGTTGGGGGTCAGCCATAATTTTCAGGTAAGAGCTAGTACTGACTTCAAAAAATCTTTTTACTGGAAGTATTTGTTCACAATATACAATACACTGTGTGAGTTAATCCCTTATATGTTGTACTAAACATTTTCCTCTTAGGAAATATCCTTAACTAACTTACACTCCACAGAAGTGAGAAATGCAGATATACTGATACCAGCTTCAGCAGTGGCATACACCACCATACGCCATTTGTTCACTTTTGTATGTTAGTGCTTTCAGAAGAGTCGGTACTCCCCAGTCAATGATCTTTCATGGCTGTCTCCTTATCACCATATCAAATGTATGGGAGGAGCTACAGTAAAGGGTGTGGTCTAATGTTCTGAGATTGATCACTTTTATTCTCCCTATCTGTAGTAACAGATGCCTTCTTAACAGACAGGGTTACAACATTTATGATCTTGAGATATTTTCTTAGTTTTATTTTTGAGTGAACATTCTTGAGTTGAGAGCAATTTATCTATATCAGAAGGACATCTATTTAGCGTTCCAAGTCAAAGTGGTTTCAGTGCACTTGACAATTCCACAGTAATGGTTTCTCGACAACCAGCAATTGAGAATAGACTTTTGAGTACTTGCATAAGTAATCATTGCAGGATCAGGCTCTGGTTGCAAAGTAACTGAATTTTTGTCATGAACATACAGCATACACTTACTACTTTTTTCAGGTTCGTGATTATCCACTGTATCACTTCATCAAGGCCAGAGCACTGAATAAAGTAGGAGATTATCCAGAAGCCATAAAAATTTTAAAAATGATTATCAATTTACCTTATATGAAGAAAGGTGAAAGTAAAAGAATCTTTGGTACCAGTATAACAACCGATGAATGGGTGTCCATATATCTGGAACTTGCAGAAGCTCTTCGACTCAATGGGGAACTGGTAAGAAATTGAATGTAAACTACATTTTCAGTAAGGAAAATGTCATAAATTTTAATTAAAAAGTCAGGAGCCATTCTGATTAGGTAAATCTAGAGTAATGAAACTCGGTAAGGAAAACAAAACTGGCCATACATTAATAGAGCACAACAAGAATGATGTTTGTAATCTAGATTAGTTGCTAAAATATCTCTTGAAAGATGTTGTGAAATTCATTAGGCAGATATGATATTTTATGATTGTAAATTGACCCATAGGAGTCTTTTCTGTGTCCGGTCTGTGTCTGTCTGACCTTGTAGGAAAAGGAGACATCTAGAAGAAGGTACAGAATCAATCTTCTTGGGCCTCCCTAAGCAGTTTTGAGGGGGCAGTCACACAGAAACTATACTTTTCTTACACAGTAAAAGAGTCTTAATTTTTCAAACTATAGGGATTTTGAACCGAACAGCACAGTTCCTCTCCAAAGAAGAAGTCCTTTTGGTATACAGTCCATTTGTTATAGCAAGCTCTGCATATATTTTATATGATGTGACTATACTCTGTACATTTTAAGAATTGTAGAGTTAGTCCAAGTGTCTCATTAGGCTCATAACTTCACTGGGCTATGAAAATTGCCCTGTTCCTTAGCAATGCAATGAAGATGATTCCAAATGTCACTGAGGGGATAGTTAACATTCACTTTATCAATTATCCACTATATATTATGTTATTATTGTATGTAATAATATTGTCCTCTATATACCTGTGAGGTACTTGATGGCAATTAATCTGAAAGCATGTGTTTATACAGAATATGCCAACATTTTAGTGGTTTCCCCTAACAATACTGGGTGAAATTAATGGGAGTTTTGCCATTGACTGCAATGGAGCCAGGATTTCACCCACATTGAGTGTAGTGTACGATACATGCTAAGTACTTCACTACATAGAACAGACAGTATAAAATAACAAGTGGTTTTATATATATGCAAACAAGTTTTATATATGGATCCTACAACTAATAGCTGAGAAGTTGTGTGACTAAAACTTTCCATCTCACCCTCAAAAAGCTATTTAAATATTCCCACAATAAGTAGTCATTCAAAAAAGGCCATTTGTAGTTCTAACTAGAAACAAAAATTGAATGACCTAATAGGTACATTTTAATTCCTAATTTCAAAGTTAAAATACCTATACTATTTGGAAACAGTAGTATAGCTGTCATCTTGTGTATTATGTGTGTATACATTGTCCTCAGCTTAGTCTAGAACCTGATCCTGAGACGTGCCTTTCACTGTAGTGTGAGCTGTAGGCACTCAGTGTTTCTCGGAATCAAGTGATTAGAATGTGCTTTGGGCACAGTCCATAGTGTCCTCTGTAGTGCTCATTAAATTATGTGTAGTAAAACTTGTCACCAGTCATTTAACTGAGATATGTGGCAACTGCAGTAAATCCAAAATGAAGTGCCTTCTGACACACTTAAAAAAATCAGGAGAATAGACAATGAAGAAAGTCTCATGATTTGTTGGTGCCTTTTTTCCTTTGGTAATAATAGCATCAACAGCTTCCAGTGTCATTCTTGTCTCCTCATGGAGAATTAGTCTATGCTGTTCTGAAGTGCTGAACATTCCCTCTCTTGCCAATTAAAATATATATTGCTCATGAGAAAGTTTGCCATTAGAGTTGGGACAAATTGGTTAATTGAAATAAAGCATCTCAAAACAAAAGGGTATTAGGTTGAATATTTTCCCTAAATACCTACTTTCAAATTGCTGTCTGCTATTCAAAGTTAGATAGCACATATTGTCTGAAATATTTACATAATTTACAAAGGAGATAACTTGCTTATATATAGTAAATTTTAAAAATAGACTATATCACAAACATGCAGGTTACTCAGTTATTAGCTGAATAAAGCCTTATCTTTTTTGCTTAAGGAAACACTTTTATTCAATGCCAGATATAACACTGCATGCTGTCAGACTTTAAAGCATCACACTATTCTTTATTTGGATTGCAGAAGTGCATAGAGACACCAGTCATAGACTAGAATCCCACTGTAGTAAGCACTATACAAACACACAAGCAAAAGACAGTACATGCCCTGAGGAGCTTACAATCTAAGTATAAGACTGAACATATGGATACAACAAACAGACAGGGGGAAACACAAGGGAACTGTGAAGGTAACAATGAGACAAAACTGGTTAGCACGAAAAGAAAAGCAATGGTCCCACTGTTTGCAATATTACGGTTTTGGATTCAATTGAACCTCCAGTTTAATATGAAATGAAAATGGGTTTGGCAAGGCCAACTGCTTTTAAAATGAAATACATTTTGCACTAGCTAATCCTTTGATGGTAATAGAGTAATTTAGTTAAAAGTTTACTTATTTTTTAATATTCCAGCATGAAGCTACTAAAATTATGCAGGATGCCATTAATGAATTTAGTGGAACTCCAGAGGAAATCCGCATCACTGTTGCTAATGTAGATTTGGCTCTCAGTAAAGGGGAAGTGGAAATAGCGCTAAGCATGCTGAGAAATATCACCCCAAGCCAACCATATTATACTGAGGTTAAAGAAAAGATGGCTCAGATATACCTTCAGATACGGAAGGATAAGAGACTATACATTGGATGTTATTGGTAATATTGTTTAAGATTAAATATGTTAAAAATGTTTACATTTTCAAATATTTTATTTTAAAAAGACAATGGCTTTATATACAGAAAAAAAGCTGACAATATAGAGCAAAACCAATTTCAGAGCTTTTGGAAGCATAGTCTAGGAGTGAAAGTACAGAACTGTGAATCCAGAGAACAAGGTCCATTTCCACAAGTCACGTTTTAATTTCAGTGTTGTTTGTCATAATCATTCATATTTTTGTTAAGATAACAAGACCTCTAAGAATCTTGGGGGAAAGAGAAAAAAATAGAAACAGTTGAGAATCTTAAGGAAATACATTAATATTTAAAAATACCACAACAAACATTGTTATGACATAAAATATTATGCTAAACAGTTGGGGTCAGATTGTGCCACCTTTCTTCAGGTACTACTGAAAACAAAAGGTCAGTTTTTGGAGTAAATTAGTACTCAGTGGGAGTACGGATGGCAGAATTTGCCATTTAATCACTAGCCAAGGGTATATATTTCCCTCAAAATTGGCATTAAGGGTCAGATATTTCTATTTCAGAACTAGCATTTTATTTATTGGAAGAAGCTTTCATCTTCAGCTAAAGAAGACAAAAAAGCTTTTCTGGCATCAGAAACATAAAATACGTACTGATTTTGACTATTGGATAACATTGGTTTTATGGGGAAAAGAACTGAAGTGGGGAAGACTAAATGCCAGATTCTGTCACTCTCACACTGAGTATGGCCTTCCTCCAAAATTAGACCGTTCAGTCAATAGGACTGCTGACAGAGAGCTCAACTATGTCTTTGCCATTAGCCCTGTGTTATGGGCAGTGCTTTGCTGTGTTGCCCTAGGAGTAGCTTGAGCAGGGAGCAGGAAACAGTGATTCGCAGAGAGAGCATTCTGTGTGGAGGCTGTACCTGATGCGGCATACGCTCCCTGAAGCATCAAGTACACCCACAGTGTTTGGCGTGCTGGGAGAACAGAGCTAAGGCTCTGACCTCTCTCTGCTCCCTCTGGCTCACCTGTACGGTTAGCCTGTATCCCCTCCCATGCTAATAATGATGATTAAGGTAAATGGCAAGAGGAGCATCTTGCACTCCCTCATGCCACCCCATTGCCTGGGTCACAGTTTTGAGTAAGATACTACTCAAAATGAGAAAAGGAGACAGAATCTGGACCTACAGAAATAGAAGTAGACATCATGATTCTATGATTAAATAATTATATATCCCGAGTGATAAATCATTCATTTAAAAGCTTTCTACTGTCACACAAATGGCAAAATCCTCAGTCCAGCACCTCTATAACCGAAAGAGATTTTACATAATCGTTGTAATGAATTTCCATACACATTAAAAGCATTAGAGATATGCACTTAATGATGTTCAGAATATAATTTTTTTCTCTATTGATAACTGAACTTTGGCATGTGGTTTTTCACTGATAATCTAAGTAATACATGTAAACAGGCCACATAATATGTTTGCCCAGATGCACTAGCTTATATTTTCCAAGTTTTAACTCTTTTTGCTGTTTCTTCCTCAGATTCGAAATATGCTGGAATTCTGGTATTATTTTTTGGGGGGCTTGTCTATATGAACAGTTGGTGCAGGTCAAGATGGGATATAAATCTGCTTCACTCTAGATTGCTGCCCATTAACTGTCCATGTGGACCCTGCTGCTGTGGACTAACAGTTCAGTAGTGCACTTTGATACACTGCTTCAAAGCGGGATAGATCAGTGTGCACTAGGGTACTTTTAGGGTGTGGCAGTGAGCGCCACACAGTTAGTGTGCAGCAGGCTGGTGTGGGGTAGATTTATATCCCATTTTACTGCACAATACTGTTTATACAGAAAAGCCCTTATACAGGAAGGAAAGGGGATAGTTGGGATTACTGCTCTTTACTTGCTAAAACTTGTGCTCTATTTTCTCTCTCCACTCCCCTCAATCTAACCTGCTTGTTTGTCTCATCCATCTGTCATGTCTGTCTTTTGAATTGTAAGCTCTGTGGAGCATGGAATATCATTTTCTATATTTGTACAGTGCCTAACCCAATGGGGTCCCAACCTGCTTGGCTTCTAGGCACCATAGCAATATGCATATTATTAAGTAGTAATAATTTCTCACTGGTATTGACAATGCCTCCAAGTTTGGTGCCATTTACATTTTTTCCCTCTTCCAGATCCCCATCAGAATATTAAATAAGATAGAACCTAATAAAATTCCTGTGCAGTATGTTCCTAGGCACCTCCCCCGCCCATTACATATTTGATATATTGCTTTTTATCATTTTCCTTTGTTTATGGTCCTTTGGCTATTTTTGAGTGTGCAACAATGTTCAGACAAGCAGAACTGAAATTACTTTTGTGTGTAAGATTTCCTGTATGAAAAAGAGTGGGGAGAATTCTTTTGTTTGGTAATAACAGCACCTTTGCTTTGAGGAGCTCAAACTTCTCTAGGGCTTGGGCCTGCATCATTAGGGGTAATGGAAGTTTTCCCATTGACTTGAATGCAAACAGGATCAAGTCCTTAAAAGCATAGAAATGTTATGTCTATTTTATACCAAGGCACAGAGAAGTAAAGTGATTTCACTCAAGGTTACACTGCAAGGGTATGACACAGTGAGAATGAGAACCCAGACCTCCACACTCCCAGTCCCTTGCTAAGTCACAGTATCTCCTAATATTTGATGAAGATGTCTGCTTTGGTGAGGGAAAAGAATATAAGATCATAGAAGTTAGAGGAGAAAGAACTCTTAAAATCCACCCCCCTTCAAGTGCATGATATTGTTCTGCCTCTAAAGGACAATATCTGATATTAAAATCATCTAACACACTTAATCCTAGCCAGAAGGACAACATACCTTATAAAGAGCCATTATGTACAGCTAGTGTATGCTTTATTCATATCCTCCTTGGACTATCACCAATATTTTCAGCTCCCCAAAAGACTTTTGAGTTTACCAGAGATTGTCAAATCAGTAAATCCCCCTATCTAGGGCAAAGTGAAAAACAGAGATTTCCCCTCCATTTACCCACTTCGCTTTTTTCCTGCCTTGCCTTGCTCTTTTGTGCTGAGTTTATTTAATTTTCTCAACTAGATATAATAGACTGTCCTCCACAGTAGTGTGGTCTAGCCTGAAGAATAATTATTCTGGAATAACTATTTCAGTATATTTCCAAGTGTAGGCAAGCCCTTAGATTAATCTCTGGGGGATAAACTGCTTGAATTTACCCACTCTGAAGTTTTGTCAAATTCTCCCATTACTGCACTATAGTAGCAGTGCAGCTTCACCAGTGCTATGAATGGTGGGAGCACTAATGTAGTCTGAGCACAGGTGTTTTTTTTACTACCATGTAGTCTAGATCTGTTCTGTTTAGAGTTAGGTGATTTAGTAACAAAAAGACCCGCATTTGGTGCATAATATGCTGCCATCCTTGCTAACCCCTGTGAACTTGCCCCAGTGGTAGTGCATTGATGAGAGAATTTGGCAAAAACCTCACAGTAGATACAGCTGGGGAGAGGTTGCCTTTTTCTATTAGTTACTTTTGTGTGTGTGTGTGAAGAGGGGCTAGAATCAGACTGTGGTGGTGGAAACTTGTTAACAAGTATACTTTTTAAATTCAAAACGTACAAACGTCTTCGAACTATTTTATGTAACCATGAGTTCCTATCACTGTTATCTTCAACTTTCCATCCCAATTCTCTCAGTTTGTTTGCTGCACCAGTGTATTGCATCTTGTCTTCATTCAGATTGCGCAAGCATTTTGGGGCAGTGGCTGTTGAAGTCATTGGAGCTACTCTGACTTACACCGGCTGAAGTTCTAGCTCTGTTTTTTTAAATGACAGAACTGACTTTATTTTCTTGAGGATTCATGTATTTTTCTTACATTTCATCCATTAGATTTCAAAATTTGTTTCTTATTGTCTTGATTCTAAATGTTGTTCTTACTTTTTTTGTAGCGAACTGTGTGAACAATTGCCAAGTCCTCATACTAGCCTTCTCTTGGGAGATGCCTACATGAATGTTCAAGAGGTTAGTATAAATTTGTTTAATAAATCTGTAGTAATTCAAACAAAAATACATTTAACTGAAAAGCTGGATTTAAATAATAATCAGTTAATAACTAGCACTTATATAGCATACAATAAATGTTGCTGAATCATTGGCAAAAATATTCCTAACTTCTAATGTTACACATGAAAATAACTCCCACTTCTGTCACTTACTTTTAGCCAGAGAAAGCTGTGGAAGTATACGAAGCAGCTCAAAGAAAGAATCCTTTAGATGCAACACTGGCCAGAAAAATTGGACAAGCATATGTGAAAACTCATCAATATAGCAAGGTCTTGAAAACAAAGGATTTATTTTATTCATTGAGCATTTAAATCATAAGAACAAAGAAATAAAGAGAAATAATCAAATAGATGACAGAAGTTATATATGAATGTTTCATTTTGACCTACTGTGTGTAATTCTGTATTTGGGATATTATATTGACCTCTTTAAATTTCCTTGCAGGCTATTAATTATTATGAAGTAGCTCTAAAGATGAGTGAGCAGGACTTCTTGTGCCATGATCTTGCTGAACTCCTCCTCAAACTCAAGAAGTTTAACAAGGCAGAAAGGGTTCTGAATCAAGCTATGGACCATGACTCTGGTAGCATTATTCATCCTTTCTATTAAGTTTGCTCTGTGTAGTATCAAAGCCTGTGAATCATTTTAAAATATACAACATTAATTTCTTCATAAATAATTATTCTAGTTAATTATATTTCTAGACTGAGTACACTTACGCGAGCATTCAATAAATATTTAAATTGCCTTGCATGAGGGCACTCTCCCAGGCCTTGTTTTACACATTTGTGGGTGACACAAAAATACTTCATTGTGTACTCCAAACATCAATTCTTGTTTCTGATATCCAGAAAAATGTCAGACTAGAAAGATAACATATTACCATTTTAATCTTTCAGTTAATGACTTGCCTTCCATGATGAAGGATGTCAAGAGCCTGATTTTACTAGCAAAGGTTTACAAAAACAATAAAAAAGAAGAAGTGATGGGAATTTTGAACAAGGTAATTCATGAGGTTATACAAGCCATATACAATGCTAGAGATATTCCCTAATCATTTATCAGTAAAAATAGCTTAACTTCTTCTTTGAGTAGATGCAGCTGTGTATCCTACGTAGGGTGCTGAAGCCACAGAATTTTGCCTAGCAGTACCTGTAGGAGCGCAATGCTCACTCTTTGTGGCCTCCAGTTGTCCCATCCAGGTCTGACAGTTCAGGGGCAGAACCCATCCCTAGTGCAAGTGACTGCTTCATCATTGTCCCCCGATGATTTGATGGTACCAGGCTCCCCTTTTCCCTCAGTGCCTGAGGACTTCAAGGCCTACCAGGACCTTTTGTGTGATGTGGCTGCTATGTTGGGCATCTAGGCAGAGTTCCTGCAGGAGAATATTCACAAACTATTGGATATTCTCCAGCTGTCTGCCCTGGGGACAGTAGCCCTTCCTATTAAAGATATATTTATGAAGCCTGTAAAGGTTCTTTGGAGTAATCCGGTTTTTGTGCTGCCTGCGGTGAAGAGTTCATAGAAATGCTGTTTGGTACCTATGCAGGGTTTGGGGGCTTCTATTCCCACCTGGTCCCCAATTCCCTGGTTGTGACTGTGGTGAATGATAGGACCCAGCAGGATAGGTATAAATCTACCCCCAAGGACAAGGAGTCCAAGAGGCCTGACTTAATGGGTAGAAAAATCTCAACCTCCTCTTCCCTACAAATGCATATTGCAAACCAGCAGGCATTACTGTCAAAATATGATTTCATTAATTGGACAGCTATGTCTAAGTTTGTAGATCAGTTACCTGAAGCCTTCAGGGAGAAATTTTGAGTGTTTGTAGCTGAGGGCTGTTTGGTGGTCAAGACATCCTTGCAAACTGCTTCGGATGTGGCAGTTACATTGGCCAGAGTTATGGCTTCAGCAGTAACCATGCAAAGGGCATCTTGGCTGCAAAATTCAGGCATTGCACCCAGTGTGCAGCAGGTTACTGAGGACCTGTCCTTTGATTGATCAGTTCACTCACTGATGAAAACTTGAACTCATTTAAAGACTCAAGTTCTACCCTATGCGCTCTGTGGGTGTATACTCCAGCAGTGCAGAGATGCCATTTCGATAGTTAGCAGCAGCACCAACAGTACCACTTGCAATGCTCCTTCGGGCCGTCCTTCCCTCCCTTGAGGCAGAAAGACTACTCCAGAAGGGGTCATAGATCCCAGAGGCAGAGGCCTTTGGGTCCTTGGTTCGGCCAGTCAACTTGTTCTCCCCCGGTGTCTACCAAGAGTCTATTTTGACTTCTTTGTCAAGGGCAGTAATCCAGTCGTGACCTCTATATACCCGTCCCCCGCATTTGGGGACCGACTTGCTCATTTTCAAGATGTTTGGGGCTCACCTGCCCTGGCAGCTAGGTCCTAAGCACCATCAGGTTGTGTTATGCCATCCAGTTCCTTTCCATCCCACCTCTCCACCCTCCTACCCTGTCCCTCTTCAGAGACCCCTCTCACAAGGCACTACTCCTTGGGCAGATTCAGTCATTACTAGAATTGGGAGCTGTGGAGGAGGTCCCTCTGCAGCTCTGGGGCCACTGATTTTATTTCCAGTATTTTCTGGTTCACAAATCCAAAGGCAGGGTGAAACCAATTCTTGACCTCCACAACCTCAACAAATATATCAGATATGTGAGATTCCAGATGATCACTCTATCGACTATCCTCCCGTGTTAAATCAGAATGACTGGTTTGCTGCTCTGGCCTGTCAGGATGATTATTTTCATGTGACAATTCTTCCAAGCCACAGAGAGTTTCTCCAATTCGTTGTGGCACATGGCCATTATCAGTATACCATACTCTGCTTTGGTCTGTCCTCTGCTCCCTGGGTTTTTACCAAATGCATGGTTGTAGTGACAGTGTACCTCAGGAAGAGGGGAATTCGTATCTTCCCATACCAAGATGATTGGTTATTGAGGGGCAAATTGAGGGAAGAATTTCTGTCCCACATACATGTCACACTATGCTTACTTGATTGCCTGGATCTCATTCTCAATGGAAACAGGTCACCATTGGTCCCCACTCAAAGAATGAATTGGTTGGGGCCTTAACAGAGCTACAAGTCTGAGAGTGCTTCTTCCAATGGACCATTTTCAGATGATTTGTCATCTGTCTCTGAAGCTGCACTCTCAGCCTTTAACTACTACTACTACTGAGGAAATTCTGCACCAAATAAAAATTATGCGCATGGTATTTTAAAATTCTGCAAATTTTATTTCTCAATAAATAAATGTGGCTCCAGCACGGCAGTGGGAGCACAGGCCACTGGCTGCATTGAGGTGGGAGATCACCCTGAAGTCCCCACTTCCCCCAGTACAGGGACTCGGCAGTGAGTCTGCACCTGACCCTGACACAATGCAAGGGCTGAGCCTGCCCCAGAAATGCCCTGGGGCCCTACCCCTCTGCACCAAGTACACCAGGTGTGGGTGGGCAAGCTCAGCCCAGCAGGATCCAAGTGTTGGAGGGGCCTAGTGTGGGGCGATCCATGTGAGGGGTGAGAGGTTTCAGGGTGGGACAATCGGTGTGGGCAGCTTAATGGGAGATCTTGATCCACAGGAGCTCGTTGCAGGGTTCCAGGTGTGGGAGCAGTGGGACTTTTCAGGGGATCCAGGTGAAAGTGGATGGGGTTGGGGTCCGGGTGTGGGGAGATGGGGCTCAACGGGAGGGGTCTGGGTGTGGGGGATCAGTAAGGGGTCCAGGTGCTGGGGGAGTGGGGCTTGATAGGGTAAGAGTCCAGTGCAGCTGCTGGTGATCAGTGGGGTGGGGGTCTGGTGTGGAAGTCTCATCGGAGGGGTCCAGGTGTAGGAGGATACGGCTTGTCAGGGTTCAATGGGCCTGCTTAACGGAGAGCCCCAGCTGCTGCCGAGGGGACACTGCATGCCAGGCTCCCACTTCCCCCTGCGATTCCCCGATCCCCTTTTTTTCTCCATCCCCCTCTCACTCCCACATTTCCCTCCCCACTACCTTTCCTCTCACCCCCTTCCCTCATTTCCCCCAGCCCCACTGTGGGCACTCACTGTTCCACAGAAAAAAGGAATAGGTTTCAGAGTAGCAGCCATGTTAGTCTGTATTCGCAAAAAGAAAAGGAGTACTTGTGGCACCTTAGAGACAAACCAATTTATTTGAGCATGAGCTTTTGTGAGCTGTAGCTCATGAAAGCCTACACTCAAATAAATTGGTTAGTCTCTAAGGTGCACAAGTCCTCCTTTTCTTTTTGAGAAAAAAGGAAGGCTCCCAGCACACAGAAGTGCAGCACGACTGGCACTAGGACCTAGGAGGCCGCATTCAGCTGCAGAGTCAGCGGAGCCCAGATGTAGCCTCCTTCAGCTGGGCAGCTCTGTACTTGCAGAAATGAGGGAGCAGTGGCAAATAACTCTGTGCTCCCCTATGCCTTGCCTCTGTTTGGGGGGGGCAGTCCCCCCTAAATGTGACCATCGTTGGGCCTTCCCCCCCAGACGGCATCCTTTTGCTTCCCTGCCATTTTCTGCAGGGAATCACAGGAATTCTGCAGAGGAGGGGCATTTTTGTCATGTATGCAGTCACACAGAATACCCCCAGGAGTAAACTACGGCTTGAGGGTGCCTAAGGCTGTTGGGTCACATGGCTGCTTGCATGCAGGTAGTCCAATTTTCCAAGTTACATCTTCACCCTTTCCAAATGTGGCTGAGGACAGTTTATCATCCACCCATCATCCCTTGGACAGTTTGGTCCAGCTCCCTGTGCCTATCTTGGACTCCTTACAGTGGTGGATAGCTCAATGCAATTAATGCCAGGGTGTTCCCTTTGTTTGGTCCCCACTGACCAGAGCCATTGTCACTGATGCCTCCTTGGTAGGCTGGGGAGCACGTCTGGGGTCACTGAGAGTTCAGGGTCAGAACAGGAAACTACATTTCATATGGAGCTTTGGGCCACTTACAACACTTCATGCCTTTTGAGATCACATTGGGGCTCCATGGTTCACATTCTTATGGACCATACCACCACAATATATTATGACAAAGCCTTGGCTGGGATGATTTAGTTGGTGTTGGTCCTGCTTTGAGCAGGGGATTGGACTAGATGACCTCCTGAGGTCTCTTCGAACCCTAATATTCTGTGTGAACAGACAAAGAGGAGCACACTCAAAAGTGCTGTGTCAGGAAGCAATCAGGCTGCTTCTTCTCTTCCCCCCCCCCCCGGGTTGAGGGTGGCTGATCACTCACTTGGGGCCGAGAATCAACACACAGATCACCTCAGTGGGAATTTTGCCCTGAGTTGCAAGTGGTCTCTGAAGCCCAGTGTCTTGCGGTCCATCTTTGCAATTTGGGGCATCCCTGCAATACATCTGTTCACTATGAGAAACATCAAGAAATGCTGTCTGTTTTGTTCCTGAGAAGGCCTCAATCCGGGCTCCCTGACTGACTCCTTTCACCTGAGTTGTGAGTGTGCACTCCTATATGCTTTCCCTCTGATTCCAATCATCTTGCAAGTAATCCTCAAGCTGACCCGTGCCAAGGTCATCATCTTCATTGCTCCAGCGTGGCTGAAGAAATATTGATTCTCCAACCTTCTGGTATTGTCAATTTGGCCTTGAGAATATTCACCTGTTGCATAGTAAAAGAGCAGATGCACCAAGCCATTGCCTACAGTAGCTAATTGTATGCACCAGAATATGAAAAGGTTATAAGAAACGGGAGTAATTTAACCAACTAACCTAAAATCCAATATTGCAAAATATTAAGATAACTTCATTACTTTTAAAAAAGAAAGTAGCTGCAGAGAATGAAATGGAAATTGGACTTACAATATAACAAAAACCTTTTTGAAACATCTTAAGTAATTTAGCAAGTATAAATTTTAGACCTCCTGCTGCATGAAAAACTTCTAAAATAGTTACTCCATTACTGTTTGAGTTATAATCTCTCTTTGTATATTTGTTTATTCAATAAGGCCATTGACATACAGTTGAGAATACTGAAACGTATCCCTCTGGAACAACCTGAATTGATCCCTTCTCAGAAGCAGTTGACATCATTGATCTGTGTACAGTTTGCTGAGCAATACCTAATCGAGAAAGAGTATGTACAAGCTGTTAAATGGTATAAAGACGCACTATCTTATACTCAGACAGATAGTAAAGTAAGTATTGTCTTAAATCCAAGTCAGTATCTATTCAACAGTACTTTAAGTGCACGTTAAGTTGGAAAAATAGTTGTGTTAACCACTTTGTTGTTTGAAGGGTGTGATGAGTCAGCAGTGTGCCCTTGTTGCCAAGAAGGCCAATGGCATTTTGGGATGTATAAGTAGGGGCATAGCGAGCAGATCGAGGGACGTGATCGTTCCCCTCTATTCGACATTGGTGAGGCCTCATCTGGAGTACTGTGTCCAGTTTTGGGCCCCACACTTCAAGAAGGATGTGGATAAATTGGAGAGAGTCCAGCGAAGGGCAACAAAAATGATTAGGGGACTGGAACACATGAGTTATGAGGAGAGGCTGAGGGAGCTGGGATTGTTTAGCCTGCAGAAGAGAAGAATGAGGGGGGATTTGATAGCTGCTTTCAACTACCTGAAAGGGGGTTCCAAAGAGGATGGCTCTAGACTGTTCTCAATAGTAGCAGATGACAGAACGAGGAGTAATGGTCTCAAGTTGCAGTGGGGGAGGTTTAGATTGGACATTAGGAAAAACTTTTTCACTAAGAGGGTGGTGAAACACTGGAATGCGTTACCTAGGGAGGTGGTAGAATCTCCTTCCTTAGAGGTTTTTAAGGTCAGGCTTGACAAAGCCCTGGCTGGGATGATTTAACTGGGAATTGGTCCTGCTTTGAGCAGGGGGTTGGACTAGATGACCTTCTGGGGTCCCTTCCAACCCTGATATTCTATGATTCTATGAAAATATGTTTGAATATTTAGACTATAAAAACTACCGTGAGTGAATTCTTAAACTTGCATTTCAGCAGAACAGCAGCCAGAAGAAAACAAATCACATGTAAGAAGGAAATATTGGTCCAGGCTCTTATTAGCACTTTTTCATTTATTTATTTTATCAAATTCATCCAGTTACAAAAAAACATGGAGCATATGTACAATAAAAAAAAAGTGGTTTTTTAAGAGAAATTAAATACCAACCCCTACCTCCAGAAAAAAAGCCCTTTCCTATTATACATTTTTCTTAAACTTCTGAAGCACATATTTCTATTAGCAACAAAGAGAGGGCCCAGCCCTATAAGGTTTACATGTGCAAAACTCCCGTTACAGTTTTGGGGGTTAGAGTCTCAGGTCCACTAAGCATTGCAACTTGGTCTTGAATATGATGATAAATTCCCTCTGTGCAGGCAGAACCTCAATTGAAGTCCTTGGGAATTTTGCCAAGTTAGATGCCAATGTTCCCTTTCTGCAAGAAGGGTGCAGTAATGAGCACAACTTTGGGATGCTGTACACTCTCAACTTTATAGTTTCATAGATTCAAGGGCCAGATTAAGAACATAAGAATGGCCCTACTGGGTCAAACCAAAGGTCCATCTAGCCCAGTATCCTGTCCTCTGACAAAAAGAAAAGGAGGACTTGTGGCACCTTAGAGACTAACCAATTTATTTGAGCATAAGCTTTTGTGAGCTACAGCTCACTCTGATGAAGTGAGCTGTAGCTCACGAAAGCTTATGCTCAAATAAATTGGTTAGTCTCTAAGGTGCCACAAGTCCTCCTTTTCTTTTTGTGAATTCAGACTAACACGGCTGTTACTCTGAAACCTGTCTTCTGACAGTGACCAATGCCAGGTGCCCCAGGGGGAATGAACAGAACAGGTAATCATCAAGTGATCCATCCCCTGTCGCTCATTCCCAGCTTCTGGCAAACAGAGGCAAACAGAGGGGACCACTAATGGACCACTGTTGTCATCTAGTTTGACCTCCTCTATAACACAGACCATAGAACTTCCGCAAAATAATTCTTATAGCAGATCTCTTAGGAAAAACATCCAATCTTGTTTAAAAATTGCCAGTGATAGCGAATCTACCATGACCCTTGGTGAATTATTCCAGTGATTAATTACTCTCATTTTTAAAAATGTATGCCTTATTTCCCGTATGAATTTGCCTAGCTTCAGCTTCCAGCCATTGGATCAAGTTAGAGCTTTATCTGCTAGATTTAAAAAACAATTATCAAATATTTGTTCCCCATTTAGGTTCTTATAAACTGTAATCAAGTCACCTCTTAGCCTTCTTCTCTTTGTCACCCCTTCAACGGACTTCACTGAGAGCTGATGGCACTCAGGCATGTCACAGGATCAAGCATCTGCAACTTCCATTTAAATGAGAACAACATTAACCTATGCATGTTTTCCTGGAGTAAATCACACTCATTTCCAAAGGTTACATGGCATGTACTGTGACTTTTCTGTAACTGTTTTGCCCCACATCAACTGGAGCTGTTTATTTCTAAGAGAAATAATGCTATTCTCATCATTTGGGACAATTAAAATTAGACAAGACAAAGCACTGAAGAGCATACTACTGTATGGAGCATTCCGCTTTATCAGAAGGATGATGTAAATGTTGTTATGGGACAAATTTATCCCTGAGGTCACTTCACTGAAATCTTTTCCATCTCTAGCCTCTGAGATAGGATTCTCAATCAAGAAAGAAAAAATATATATGACTCTCGATATCAATTACACTGATCATTGAAATATTTCCCTTCTTTAATTACTTGTCCTTATTCTCCCAGGTACTATTGCAGTTGGCTTGTCTTTATTTGACACAAGGCGATATCGAGTCATGTGAACATCATTGTGCTCTGCTTCTTCAAGATGACAATTGCAACGAAATTGCAACAATGGTATAAATGGGTAATAGTTAATCATCTACAGATCAGATTAAAGAATTGTTTTCAATTTTTAGGCTATTCTAAAGACATTCCTCTATGTATTGGCATATGTCTTATGTCCAAGAAGCTACACTGCAATTGGTAGCAAAATAGGTTGCATCTACTAATGAAACTTTTTCCATGAAGAATCAGAGGAAAGGGAGGTAAGGGGAAAGTAAAAGGCAAATGTATACCTCCCAAAAAGCAATCTGCATAAGAGCAGAAAAAATATTAAACATATACTTACCTATGAGTAATGGAAAAGTGTTTGCTTTTTTGAGGGTAATCGTATACTTCTATCAATTTAGCACAGGGCAAAGTTTCTCTGATTGGCAGTTCAGTCCATGTTTCACATGGCACTAAGTTTCATGTCAGTGTTGTATTGCATATAAGTGAGATACAAGGCTTGCTTACATTGTGGAAGAATGTGCTATAGCAGTTGTGATTTCTAAAGTGCACAAATGTGTTGTGCATTAAGTGATCCATGTATATACCCTGCTGGTGCAAACTAAAGGTTCCCTAGTGTGCTTTAACTGTTTCAAACAGCACTATGTTACTGTGCACCAGCAGGGTCCACACGACCAATTAATGTGAACACATTAGTGTGGTTGAGATACCACACCCCTGTAAAGCCCATTTCCCCACCAGGTAGACAAGCCCTGAGTCATTAGATGAAATGGGACACCTGAAAATGAGTTTGGATCCCCTCCAAAAATGCAGTTTACTGCATGATAAGTCTGTATGATTATTATTACTTGTTTCATTGTGACTTTTAATTTGTTATGTTGAAAAATACCCTTTGATATTATTCAAAATAACAGTTCAAGAAAAACAAAGCCAGCAGAAAACACTCAGGTAAACATTCACCCTTCTTCTACTCTTTTTCTTTCTACCTTTCCCCATCTCATTCATTTTCAGCCTTCTTCAGCTCTGCCAGCTTTATAGGTTCTCTCTGAATCTCAAAACCCTTCCATGTGGGATTCGATCTAGGAAATAGCAGGGTATACCTTATTACTGAAGTGCATGTTTTAGCCATGTGATGGGTCAATCAGTGCAGTAACTACTTGTACCAGGAATAACTTGCTTGAAGAATTCAGTCCCAACACAGACACTGATCCCATAAACACATACACATGTGAGTTACCTTAATGGAAGTTTTCTTTGAATTAAGTATAATAATGAATAATACAGTAGTAAAGTAGCCATTGTGTTATTTATTTCAATATTCAATTCAGGTTTTTTTTATATTGGCTCCATTACATTTATTACACTTCATTTAGTATGCTGAAGATTTTCACTGTGGCAATACCGAACTGCATGGTGGAAGCTGTCTCTGATGAAGCTAGAGATTTTGGCAGCTTGGGAGGGGACAGCTGGGCATTTGGGCTCTTGGAGAGGCAGCTTGGGGCAGTGGGATAAGAACATAAGAATGGTCCTACTGAGTTAGACCAATGGTTCCATCTAGCCCAGTATCCTGTCTTCTGACAGCGGCCAGTGCTAGGCGCTTCAAAAAGGATAAACAGAACAGGGCAATTTCAAGTGATCCATCCCCTGTCAGCGAGTCCCAGCTTGTGGAATTCAGAGGTTTAGGGACACCCGGAGCATAGGGTTATGTCCCTGACCATCTTGGCTAATAGCCATTGACGGACTTATCCTCGATGAATTTATCTAATTATTTTTTGTATGCAGTTATATTTTTGGCCATCACAACATCTCATTGCACAAGTTCCGCAGATTGAATGTGTACTGTGTGAAGAAGTGCTTCCTTTTGTTTGTTTTAAATCTGCTGCTTATTAATTTCATTGGGTGACCCCTGGTTCTTGTGTTATATGAAGTGATAAATAACACTTCTCCATTCACTTTCTCCATACCATTCATGATTTTATAGATCTCTGTCATATCTCCCCTCACTTGTCTCTTTTCTAAACTGAACAGTTCCAGTCTTTTTAATTTCTCCTCATATGGAAGTTGTTCCATACCCCTAATCATTTTTTTTTTGCCCTTCTCTGTACCTTTTCCAATTCTAATATATCTTTTTAGAGATGGGGCAACCAGAACTGCATTCAGAATTCAAGGTGTGGGCATGCCATGGATTTATATAGTGGCATTATGATATTTTCTGTTTTATTATCTATTCCTTTCCTTATAGTTCCTAACATTCTGTTATTTGTTGTTGTTGTTTTTTACTGCCATTGCATATTGAACAGATGTTTTCAGAGAACTGTCCACGATGACTCCAATATGTCTTTCTTGAGTAGTAACAGCTAATTTAGACCCCATCATTTTGTATGTTTAGTTGGGATATTTTCCCCACGTGCATTACTTTGCACTTATGAACAATGAATTTCATCTGCCATTTTATTGCCCAGCCACCCAGTTTAATGAGCTCCCTCTATAGCTCTTCACATTTAGCTTTGGATTTAACTGTCTTGAGTAATTTTGTATCATCTGCAAATTTTGCCACCAAACTGTTCACCTCCTTTTCCGGATAATTTATGAATATGTTGAACAACACAGGTCCCAGTACAGCTCCTTGGGGGACCCTGCTCTAATGATCTTTGGGTTCATTAAATAGCAAACAAGTGAATGAGAAAGGAATAAAACTTTAATAGAACAAAGGGGAAAGCATCTCTGGTGAACTGCTGCACGCAGTCATATGATGTCCCAATCCCCACCTTCAGGGCACATCTCTAAATTCCGGAGAATTTCTAAATTATAATCTTCTACAAACCTATCTCTACACCTGCTATTTACCTCTCTCTCCACTGTGCAGACTGACCATTTATTCCTACCCTTTGCTTCCTATCTTTTAACCAGCTGCTGATCCATGAGATGATCTTTGCTCTTAACTATGACTGCTTAGTTTTCTTAAGAGCCTTAGGTGAGGGACCTTGTCAAAGGCTTTCTGAATGTCCAAGTAGACTATCTCAACTGTATCACCCTTGTTCACATCCTTGTAATAGATTGCTGATGCATGGTTACCATTTACAAAAGCTGTGTTGACTCTTCTCCAATATATTGTGTTCATCTATGTGTGTGATCATTTTGTTCTTTACTGTAGTTTCAACCAGTTTGCCTGGTACTTAAGTTAGGCTCACTGACCTGTAATTGCAAGGATCGCCTCTGGAGCCTTTTTTTAAAAATCAGCATTACATTAGCTCTTTTTCAATCATCTGGTTCAGAGGCTGATTTAAACAGTTCTGAAATTTCATTTTTCATAAGCATGTCAGTACATATTTCTGCTAAATGACCAGCAGGAAAATAGCTAATACCCTTAACAATGAAATGATCTTATTTATATTTCAGAGTTAAAACAACCTATTTAAATGAAGGGGGCTGTTCACATCTCTCAAAACTACTGTTTCATGTTTGTCTGCAACTAAAAAGGCAGCACCACATCAGTTTACACTTAGTTTGTTTTCTAGATTATTTCAGCAACCATAATTATTAGAAATATTTTTAACTGAAAGCTTTGATTTTTGGAACATAATTCTTTAGCAAGGGGTGAATTCTATGGCAAAATGCACAGCTGCAGAATCAGAGAATACCCAGGGCCCTAGAAGTACAAATGAGAGAATTGGGCCCAAATCCAACAAGAGGCAACATCTGGTCTTTACATTCAAGTGTCTATCTGAATAGTGCATAGTTATTTTATTGCATATTTCATATTTTCACTTGGTACATTGTTTAATGCTAGTTCATGCTCAGCTATTTTTAAAACATATCCTTTTTTGGTTGTCAGGACTATTTTCAGAAGGATAAAATAACTTTTACATTTCTGGTTCTTTTCAAGGAATTCAACTCAGTCACTTTTAATGCAGTTTTTTTCTGCTCTGTTAGATGATGGCAGACCTCATGTTTAGAAAACAGAAGTATGAACAAGCTATAAATCTTCACCAAAATGTTCTGGATAAAGCACCAGGTATCTACTTTTAAATAAGGTGGAGTTTTTTTAGATTCACCCTATTTTTAAAAGGTTAACTAATGAAAATATGTGACAACTCTGTTGTCTTAATTTCATCTATAAGACTTCCAAGTAGCATGTTCTGTTCATTAAAAGGAGCTTCTATAGTCCCACAACACTTAAAGGAACAAGATGAATGGGTCTGAAGCTTTGGGATGGAGACTATGCCTTGGCACTTCAAGAAGAACAGGAAAAGTTGGTGGGGATTGGGTTCTCTTGTGTGTCTTTGAAGCTCTGCCATTTTCCCTTTTGAAAGCCTTAGTCTCTTCCCAGCTTTGAATCCTCCAGGCATCATTGCAGTACCCTACTGATAGCTGCCTACAGCAAAACATGGCCTTTTTTCACATTTTAAACTAAAGTGTAAGCTTAACATGGATTCGGATAGCCTGAGTTTTTTCAATACAAAGGTAAAGTTTACTTTCTTACTTTGTTACATTGTTATGTCATTTTAGATAACTTCTCCGTCATGGAAAGGTTAATAGATTTGCTAAGAAGAAGTGGTAAGCTTGATAAAGCTACATATTTCTTTGAAATGGCTAAGAAAAAGTCAACTCGAGTACTTTTGGAGCCTGGTTATAACTACTGCAAAGGACTTTACTGCTGGTAATTTGTACTGAGTAGTCTTTAGCAATGTTATAGATACCCTGATGAATAAGGCTATGCAACCCCTGTATAGCTTATGTGTGCTGTTTCAGGTTCATTTTGAGAACTGCGCCCTGCAATTTGGTTTGGAAGAACTGGAAGTGAACCAGCATCTCAGGTTTGCTGGGAAGTTAAAGTTCTAATACAAATTCAATTTTCTACTGGGCTCAAGGCTTTTTGTGGGAGAGGGCAATGTTGGAATAGAAAAAGAAACTCAGGTGAACATAGGAAAGTAGTTGGTTGTATGTAAGAACCTGAATAGAATAGAACAAAGTAAGTTGACTTGAATATATCAGACTCAGTACAAGAGAGTTGAGGTTTGATTGTAAATATTTTACATGGCTCTAAAACCAAGGAGTGAAATCTGGCCCCTTTGATGTCAATGGCAGAAGTCCCATAGACTTCAGTGAGGCCAGGATTTCACCCAAGATATTTGGATATAATATATTAAACTTCATGTTCTGAGTGTCAAATAATGAAGAATAGTTTCTGCTTTATATAACACCTTTTCATTTGGGGATCTCAAAGCACTTTTCAAACATGTGAGCCCCACAAAGCACCTCAGATAGATATTTTACTTGTTTCACAGATTGATAAATCAAAGCAGCACTTAGCCTCCTTACCTTGAGGTCTGTCTCTACTTGAAAATGTGACTCTAAAAATGGCATTGCAGGGTTCCATATATACTATGTTTCAGTGATTCAAGTATCAAACTAGCACAAGTCAAAAGATGTTTTTCTACTAACTGTTAGCCCTGCAGACTTAATCTGGGATCTGGCCGATCAAGCTGGGTTCTTTCCTTCTCATGAATAATAAAGGTTCCATAGGCCGAAATGCTCCTTGTTCACATCTGTGAAAATGTACTGTAGTCAAATTATACCCTCAGTAATATCTGTGCATCCTGATTATCAGAAGGGCGTTCCACAGGTGTAATTGATTGGAACTTAACAAATGTGTTGATGCACAAGTTGGAATACAATGCAAAACTGACTTACTCTTAGCTGTGATGGCTTTGTAGTGCTAAAAGGAAAAAGGCAATAAAAATATTTATTCTGTAGATATCATCTGTGCAGGATTTTCAGTTCCTGGGTCTTGGCTTCCTAATATGATTGTGGTGGAATTTACCTACCTCTCAAGATTTTTTGACCATCATGGACAGCAGTAACAGGGTAGGGCATGAGCCAGGCCCCCTACTAACTGTTGTGCGCTACTCCTTCCCAAGTAAAAATGCTGCCCACCAGTTATTCCAGTCAGCAGTCAGCAAAGGAGGTCCTATTCTTTATTCTGTATAGATTCATATTCCACACTCATCATGGTAGTATCTGACCACCTTCCAGTAGTGCATAAATAAGGTTAAGATTTTGTCACAGATATTTTTAGTAAAGTCACGGACAGGTCACAGGCAATAAAGAAAAATTAACGGAAGCCTGTGACCTGTCTGTGACTTTTACTAAAAATATCCATGACAAAATGGGGAGCTCAGCTGTGGGGTCCTCACACCACCCCGCAGCAGCAAGGCAGCTGCAGGGGCCTGCTTGGAGCTCCGGGGCTCCCACCACCTTGGGGGACTTGGAGCTCCGGGGCCCCCCACTGCCTGTGGCAGCCGGGAGCTGCAAGGTACCCCTGCCACCCACAAGCTCCAGGGTAACCCCACGGCAGCTGGGAGCTCTGGGGTCCTCCCACTGCTGTCGGCAGGGGGACCCTGCAGCTCCCGTCTGCTGCGGGCTGAGGTCACTGGAAGTCACGGATTCTGTGACTTCTGTGACCGCCGTGAAAAAATCGTGAAAAAATTGACTAACATCTTGTATTCTCCCCTAGGGGGAGAATTTTGAGCTCAGTGGAGCGTTTTGTTTCGTTAGGATTTTGTTTCTGGTATTTTTGTTTGTTCATTTTTTAAGTGTACATGGTCTGTGCAACCTCTAGCATTCCAAGATTCCAGCAATGCTCACTGAGGCCCCAGTTCAAGTATGCACCCCTATTCAGGAAAGAATTTAAACACATGCTTAAATCCCACTGAAGTCAATGAGATTAAATATATGCTTAAAGTTAAGCATATACTCAAGTGGTTTCCTGAAAACGAATTAATTTAAGCACTTTCTTAAGTGCTTTCTTGAACTGAGTATCTTTTAACTTCCCTTTCCTTCCCTTTCCTTTTCCTTCATGTTAGGTCTGGTACGGTTGCTATATAATTGAGGCCTTTGCCAGACTCTGATAATATTAGCAAAGAACAGAACCACAACCACATTTAAATAATATATTCATATAACATTTTATATTTATGTGGCTTTCTGTACCGTTAGTTTGATTTTACATTAATATATCAAAAAAAGACAAACACATACAGGAAAACAGGAATATCATCCATAGAACAATAAGTAATAAGAATCAGTATACATTACAGTAAAAGAATCGACACACACAAGAATATCAGTACAATATAAAGTAAACTAAACAAGTATCTGGTGCAGATTATGCACTTTTTTATTCCTATTTTTCATAGAATCCATATGTAGAAATGTTCTGTACGTATAACAAATATTACAAGATTTTTCCACGCTGACAAAGGCCTTTTTCATTAGTGCTTTTATGTATATAAATATGGAAATGTTAATGTTAAGATTGATGATCACCCTACACTCTTGCAACTGCATATTACGTATTCTCTCCAAACAGGCACATGGGACAGCCCAATCAGGCACTGAAATATTTCAACAAAGCTCGAAAGGATAGTGACTGGGGCCAGAGAGCCATCAACAATATGATTCAGATCTGCCTAAATCCTGATAATGAGATAATAGGAGGAGAAGTGTTTGAAAGCCTCAATGAAGAGAACAGGTAAAAGAGAAACCCAACACTTATGGAAACAGTTTGTAATAGAGATATGTAATAGAATATCAAATTCATTTTCCATTATATGTCTAAGACTAGCATAAAGCTCTGGTAATTTCTTTCCCCGCTACATGTGTAAAGAGAGGCTAAACACAGTATTTCAGTTCAGCTGTGCACTCTATGCTATAGTCACTAACAGAAAATAGAAACATTTGCCATATTTGTGGGTTTAAAAAGAAGGAGATGAATTTTAATGTTCGTGGAAAATACTGGACTGAGAGACCTGGAGGCTGAAGGCCTGTATTTAGACACAGAATAGATACATGGGGAGTGGCAGTTTAAGGTGCTTCAGCTCTGGTCTGGAAGGGACAATAGTCTGTAATCTAATATGTGTGAATTATGAGGTATTTAGAAGAAGAAATGCAAATCTGCTCTGTTAAATATGGTGCTATTAGAATTAAAAGATATTGCTTTATCATTAGACAGGATTTGACACTCTAGGAATCATCATGTATGATGTTCAATGATAATTTTAACAGTAACTTAAAAGAGAAGAGAGAATCTGAGCAACATGGGATACGCACAGCTGAGAAACTGCTTAAAGAGTTTTATCCTCACTCACAAAAGGGACAAAATCAGATGAAGATGTTACAGAACTGCTGTCTGGTGGCCACAAAAGACAAAGTTAATGTGGAGAAAGCCCTCAGTGTATTTGTAGAAATGGCCCAAAATGAGGTAAGAAAATTCTTCAATTCATCTTAGGTTCCCTTCTGTTGTAAAATGCTAATAGATAACATTTTGGTTTTTACTAGGAGTATTTTCAATTGAGTGGCCACCCATTTTCTCCATAATTTTAAAACGATAAGAGCTTTGAAATTAATTTAATAGGCATAATAAGGTGTTACTGTTTAATGTGTGTTTTGTTATTTCCTTGTTAAAGGATCAGTAAGAGAGAGAAAACTGCAAGCTGCAACATCAGCAGGATAGAGATGAAGCTGTAGAATGTCTGCTTAACTTTCTTTTTGTTGTCATTCTGCCAGCATCACTGTACTTTGATCTCAGAAGGAACCGTTTCTACAAAGTCAGTGGTTGAAATCCTAGCCTCACTGAAGTAACAGAGTTTTTCCCATTGACTTCAATAGAGGCAGGATTTTACCCAAAGTTTTGAAAACTTAATGGACTAAATTTTCAAAAGGATACATGTTATTTGCAAATTGTGGAAAAATAGCTAGTCACTCTTAATAGATGTACAATTGTACAGGCTTTTCAACAACTGGTACTCAGTAGCAAAGCTGCTACAGCCAGAATGGAAATAAGTGGTAGTAGGATATATATTGTACTTTCAACATAGTCTGGAGTTAAGTCAGATCAAGTTATTCTTAATATTATGAAAAGAATATAGCTAAGGTTTTTTTCATTTTCATTGATGAATGCTTTAATTATATGAAGTGCATGATTAAATTTGGATTATTGAGGTTTTGGCTAATTAAGGGAATTTTCATTGTAGTCAACTAAGTGTTGGGAACAGGAGTTTGATCCTACATGCTGCTGAGCACTTTGGTCCTAATCAAGTGAATTATTTATGACCTGCTTAATTGTAAACAAATCAGTACTCTTATTGACTTCCCATGCATGCTTAAAGTTTGCTAAATAGGAGGTAAAATGCTCAGCACTTTGCAGAATTGAGCCCCAGACCCCGGTTTGGTTCACAAAGCGCTTTGGATAGTTGGGGGTTGGATAGTCAAAGTTGTGCTGTATTGCACTGCACAACTGTGCTAGCACTCTCTGACAACACCCAGCTCCAAGGGACTGCATCATTGCAGTCATGTGTTTGCTGCCATGGCCTCCTAGGATATGGAATGTTTTTCCCCTTGGTATTTTCTATACTCACTTTTAAGAAAAAACTGAAAACTCTTCTTTTTCAAAGGTTGTTTTTTATTGTGACCACCGTTGGCCTTCATATGTAGAACATTTTCCTTTTACCTTCCTAGCTTTCTGGTTTTGAGTTTACCATTTTGTTTGTTTTTCATTATATTAGTGGGGGGGGGGGTTCTGTTTTGTACTGTGCTTTGTTATTGTACACACCCATCCTAGGTGCTTTCATGGGGACAAAGAGGGGACGTTCTTTGTAAACATATTAGAATGTCATACTTAAATTTGAGGTAGTTTGTTTTTAACAATTACCTTGTCACCCCAAATACCAATACCCCTAGGACCTCAGTTTTACAGTAGGATCCACACATGGATCTTGGGTGTGCTTGGAGTCCCATTGACTTCTCATTCTTAATCATCATCATAATAAAATACTTAACTCTCATATAATGCTTTCATCTGTAGGTCCATCTACACTGTATGATCATAATGGTCTGTCTAAATGGATTCAGTTGCAAGTATTGGGGTATTAGATTGTCATCTCTAATTGTTTATGGCAGACTAGATAACATAAGGGAAATACTAAAGTTTATTTAACAGTCTCTTGACAACCATGTTGTTTTTAATAATCCAAATGAAATTTGGTTTAACAATGAAAGCTGTTAACTTTTAAAGTAAGACAATAAAACCAGTAATGTTTCTAGACCTTGGAAAGAGCGTAATGTTTAAACAATAGTATTTCTGCTTTTATTTCTTAGAGGGAAAATGTTCCAGCTATTTTGGCAATGGCCCAAGCCTATATGATTCTAAAACAGACTCCCAAGGCCAGAACCCAGCTAAAACGGTTAGCCAAAGCTAACTGGACTTTGTCTGATGCTGAAGAGTTAGAAAAAAGTTGGATGTTATTGTCTGATATATACTGCAAAAGCGGAAAGTATGATCTTGCAACTGAACAACTGAAACGCTGCTTACAATATAATAAGGTGAGAGGAAAAGGAGGTGTTTACAAGGAGATCTTGAAAGGTCAGAAAACATTGTGACCGGTTAGGGATTTGAACACAAATAGAGTTTTTCATTAATAGCCATTTACAATAACCCCAAAAGTAACAGCTGTAATTTAGAACCTGATCTACAATAAAAGTAGGTAATGGATAATAATTAATTTAATGATAGTTAATGGCAAAATCTTCATCACATTGAAATTGGTGAGAGTTTCATTATTGATTTTACTATTGTGACCCTAAACACACACACACACACACACACACACACACACAGTTAATGAAACATTAAGATTGCACATTTTAAATCACAAAAAGCCAGGAAATACAAAAGTTAAGCTCACAATGGTAATATTAACTTGGTCATGTTGCACATTCTGTGTTTTAGTACACATCTTGTTATTATCTTAAGAATAAAACATCAAGCTATACATTTAACAAGAAAACCAGACATAGGAAACAGTGCAATTTTAATTTATATTTCAATGGAAAATATAATTTGAGCCCTGTATTTACAATCTTGATCACAATTTAAATTCACTAAGATATGAAAAATCAATGCTGTTATGACATTTGGGTATGCTAAGTATTCTCAATAATGATGTAACATTTTGTGGTTTTGGTTTTTTTAGTCTTGTTCAAAAGCTTATGAATATATGGGTTTTATCATGGAGAAAGAACAGGCCTATAAGGATGCTGCAACTAATTATGAATTAGCTTGGAAATACAGTAATCAAGCAAATCCTGCTGTTGGTGAGTTGAGAAAGTACTGTTCTAGCTCAAGTTCCACCTGAATATCCAGCACATTTATTCCTGAAAGTGTAACAAATTGTGATGATGATATAGATGCTTCTGCCCCCAGTTACACCTATGCAACCAAACTGAAGATAGTGGTGTTACAGAGATGTAACTAAGGGCAGCATTTGATCCAGAATGCTGCTAAGAGTTTATTGACAGCTAGTTTTAATATTGCATAATAGTGTAAGAACAGTGAAAATCTGCAGAAGGGCCAAGTACAAAATAGTTGCATGTAGAGGAGTGCAAAAGAGATCCATGTAGAGATGGAGGTATTAGCATATTTGGAAAAGATTTCTTATAAGTTGAAAGACTGAAAGGAAGAATCCCTCTTGGTTTCCAGACCTACTGCATATGACTAATGAAAGTTATACACTTTGGGCCAGATCCTGAGCTGCTCATGAGGTGAGTGAAAAGGTAACTTTAAGACATCTTTTCTCTCTCTCATTCCACAAGTCACCATATACTGGCTCAGTCCCCCAATACAATGTATATTATACCAGTAGCTCACAGCCCCATTGAGTTGTTCCAGCAGCTGAAATCACTAAAGCATAGGGACATATCAGCCATGCCCCTTTTCCCTGGCCACACACTCTATTCCAGGCTCTGAGAAGCTGGTGATATTGGGGCCACTATGCTGGGTTCTCACCACTAGAGGATTCCCTACTAGCTCTTTAAGATGAATTTAAGGCTGTTTTGCACACTATAGGACATGGCTTGAGACTGCAAAGTTCTCCAAATCTTGCAGGATCCAGTCCTTCTTCTTCGAGTGCTTGCTCATGTCCATTCCATGTTAGGTGTGTGCTCACCACATGCACCGGTGCCGGAAGTTTTCCCCTCAGTGGTATCTGTAGGGGACCGGCTCTGGTGCCCCCTACCCTCAGTTCCTTCTTACCTCCAGTGCCAGTGCTGGAAAGTTCCTTTGCTTCGGCAAACCTTTCCTTCTCTAGAAACTGTTTGTTGCGAACTTTCTATCATAAATAGTTATATCATTTAGTATTAGTTCCCTTAGTGTGTTTTTAGTTAGTGTACCAGATGGGACCTAGCCTTGGGATGGGGCATGACCCAGTCCCCGGGTTTTAAGAACTGTGACCGTTATAGGAAAACTATACTGGTCAGTGATCCACACATTAGTTATTTAAGGTATTTAGGGGAGTCTCCTATTAGTGTCAGGTGTCACATCTGCAGGAGCTTTAAGCCTGGCATGAAGAAAGAGTGGGACATCCAACTTAAAGCACTCCTTATGGAGTCGGCACTGACACCGGCACTGGAGCAGCCGAAATCGGACTCCGTGCTCAGCACCATGGCTTTGGGTGGAGCGCCCTGCTGGTGCCGTCATCCACCTCCCCAGCACCGGCTAGTAAGAAGAGGAAGACTGGGAGAGGTCAGTCTCCTGCTCACAAGGACAAGGAGAGGGCAGGAGGCAAGCCTAGACCCACAAAGTGCGGCTCATCACCTCTAAGTGGGAATCAGGCCGCATGTTCGGTTGAGTGGGTTAGCCCATCCTGGGATGCGCCCACTATCCCGGATAGCAGCATGGGAGTCTGGCACCTGGCGATGCCGTTGACCCCAGAGGCCCTGCAGGTGGCACAGGATATCTTGTCCCTCCTGGTGCTGATAACACCGGTAATGGCAGCTCCCAAATCAAGGGGTAAGTCTGCCTTTGGACCACCCCCTCAGTCCCTGTCAGTGTGGCGCTGCTCGTCACCCCAGGGAGCATCCTGCCAGCGCTCACCCGCACAGAGCCACTGCGCCTTGGATGTAGGGCTGCCTACTAGTCAGAGCCCTCAGCGCCGGTCTCCGGATTCTGGCTATTGTTCTGCGGGCTCTAAGAATCTGAGTCCGGCAAGGTGGTGTAGACCTACCAAGGCATGCACAACCCTGCGACCCCAGTACCGGGAGCATTGTAGCAGCTCCCCTTCGAAAGCCTCCATCGGGATTCTCAGTACCAGGAGCGTTGTAGCAGCTCCTCTTCAGATCAATGCTGCTTCTGCGAAATCCTCCATCGGGATTCTCAGTACCGGTCACCAGCCTACCGACATAGGTCGCCGTGCCTGTGTCAACACTCATCATCATGGCATCGGTCATGCTCTTGCTCCTGCTCTATAATTCAGCACTGGTCAGGAAGTGTTCAGCGTAGATTGCTGGGGTACTGTTGTGGATCCGCTGAACGCCAATGCCAGTCATCGGGATCTCGACACAGTAGGTTGTCGCCCGCGTAAAGATCCCACTTGGAGCACGACAGTGGGCACAGCTGGAACCGAGACAGCTGGTTGGCCTTGGTAAAGTCCTGGTCTCCAGAACATGGCCCTCCATCCCTGGGCTCAGAGTTGGACCAGGAACCCCTGCAGGTGGGTCAAGGTCCTCCACTGGCGGCACCAGTCCTTCCTGCGGCACTGGCGGGACTATCTTGGCCCCAGGGCCAATGGCCTATGCCATGGCACCCTTGAAACTCGTGGGGGTTCCTGCAGCCATCCCAAGGGCATAAATTGGTGTCAGGAGGCTCCGACAAGTCCTCTGCTATGGTCTCCTGCCTGCCTGAGACAGAGGCCACCATGCCCGGGGCACCCCATATGCAACAACTGGGGGACGAAGGCCTGGCTGAGCAGGTCACAGAGGTCATGATGCCTGCTGCACCTGCATCGTCCTTCTCATCCCCTGATGAGGACATCATGGGGCTTCCACCTACGGTCCCCCAGGACGATGCCAAAGGAGGGTAGCCTCGAACTTGGGGCTAGAAACCAAGAAGCTGGAGGAGCCCTCGGACACCCTCTTCAACATCCTCAACTTGGCAGCCCTGGCTAGACTCGCACTGCCAGTACATGAGGGGGTGGCCAAGATTACCAAAGCCCTCTGACCCCCTCATCGCTAATCCCAATTTCCAAGCGTGTGGAGCGCAAGTACTATGTGCCTGCAAGAGGGTACAAATACCTTTATACCCACCCTGCCCCGAACTCATTAGTGGTGTCTGCAGTCAAAGAGCAGGAAAGGCAGGGACAACCGGGGGCTACTCCCAAAAATAAAGAGGTAAAGAAACTGGATCTTTTTGGGAGGAAGGTTTATTCATCATCAAGCCTTCAGCTGAGGGTGGCGAATCATCAGCCATAACAATGAGGAGGGCAGCATGGCTGCAGTCCTCAGGCTTGTCATTAGAGGTCCAACAGTCCATCCAGGACCTCCCCTTCAATGGCCAAGCTCTGTTTGCGGAGAAAACAGATGACAAGCTGCGTGGGCTAAGGGACTCACGCAACACACTCAAAACCCTGGGCCTGTACACCCCAGGGCAGCAGAGGAAGCAGTTTAAGCCGCAACCTCCCCACCAGCAGCGTAGCCAGCCTAGGCAGGATTCCTTCCAGAAAAAGTGCCAGGGCTACAAACACCGTCAGGGCCCGCAGCTCTGTACCTTGTCACAGGCTGGCTCTTCCTGCTCCCAGCAGGGGTCAAAGTGGGTATTTTGAGGGTGCACCCAAGGGCGACATTCCAGCCACTGTCCTGGATCCTGCCCCTCTCCACTTCTCCAACCACCTTTATTTTTTCCTCCCAGCCTGGGCCTCTATAACTTCAGACTATTGGGTCCTCAATACTGTGGTGCAGGGCTATACCCTTCAATTTGTTTCTACCCCCTCCTCACTCCCCGTCCCTCTTCAGCTACCCCCTCACAAGAGTTTACTGCCTGAGGAGGTGCAGGGCCTGCTGCAGGTGGGAGCCATGGAAGAAGTCCTCCTAGATCTCAGGGGCAAGGGGTTCTACTCCCGTTACAATACCTTCTGATCCCGAAGGCCAAAGGGGGCCTAAGGCCCATCCTGGAGCTGCAAAACCCCAACAAGTATCTCAAGAGGTTGAAGTTCTGCATGGTCTCCCTGGCCTCCATCATCCCCTCCCTGGATCCAGGAGACTGGTATGCTGCGCTTGACTTGAAGGATACATATTTTCATATAGCGATCTTTCAAGGACACAGACATTTCCTCCACTTCACGGTGGGATTCGCACACTTCCAGTTCGCAGTGCTTCCCTTTGGCCTGGCAACGGCACCAAGGGTGTTTACAAAATGCATGTCAATGGTGGCGGCTTACCTCAGGCGTTGGGGTATCCTGATCTACCTGTACGTCAACAACTGACTGGTCAAGGGTCACTCCAGGCACCAGGTCCAAATCCAGGACACCATCGAGATGCTGCTGACCACATGCGGGAGGCCAGGCCTGTTGATAAATGAAGAAAATCAACTTTAGTCCCTGTACAAAGAATACAGTTTATCGGAGCGGTCCTTGACTCCACCAGGGCAAAGGTGTTTCTACCACACGACAGGTTCCAGATGATGGGGGACCTCATTGCCGGTGTTTCTGCGTTTCCTCTCATGATGGCCCGGATATGCCTATTGCTGCTGGGCCACGTGGTGGCATGCACGTCCGCCATCCGCCGTGCAAGGCTCTGGATGCGACCTCACCAGCAGTGGCTGGCTACGGTCTATGCCCCATCCAGGGATCACCTGGACAAGGACATCACCATCCCACCGGAAGTACTCATTGCAGTGGTGAACCAACCCTGGAGCGGACCTCAATAGCGTCCTGTTCAATAGCCCGCGACCTTTGGTATCACTGATATCCAACGACTCAGACCTCGGCTGGGGAGCGCACCTCGGCGCGATGTGGACACAAGGCATGTGATCCGCAGAGGAGAAGACGTTGCATATAAATGTCAAAGAGCTCAAGGCAGTTTGCCAAGCCTGCGCGGTTTTTCTCCCGGCCGAGTGGTTTGCGTCCTGACGGCCTCAATGTTTTACATCTAGAGGTAAGAGGGAGTGCGCTCATCGGCCCTTTGTCAAAAGGCACTCTGCCTATGGGATTTCTGCATTCGGCATGCGATCCACCTGGAAGCCTATCACCTTCCCAGCATCAGGAACATGCTGTCAGATCACCTTAGCAGATCCTTCTTTTTTCACAAGTGGTCGCGCCACTCAGAAGTGGTCCAGATACTTTTCCAGAGGTGGAGAACTCCCCGAGTAGACCTGTTTGCCACCAGGCAGAACAACGTTTACTCCCTGCAGGGCCTCAGCAAGGATGCTCTCTCGGACACCTTTCTCCTGTCCTGGTCATGATTCCTGATGTACGCGTTCCTGCTCGTCAACAGAGTCCTGTCAAAAATCAAAAGGGACAAGGCTCGAGTCATGATCGCCCCGGCATGGGCATGCCAACATTGGTTCAGCACGCTGTTGGATATGGCAGTAGCCTCCCCGTGGCCGCTGCCCAACCGCCCAGACCTTCTCTCGCAAGATCATGGTCACCTCCTGCACCCCAACTTCACCTTTTTTGAAAGTAGAAAACCCTCCACTAACGCGACTTACCTGGCGAAGTGACAAGGTTCTCCCACTGGGTATCTGAGCATAGTGTCTCCCCGACGCACTCTTCTCTGTAGTCCATTTTGGAATATCTGCTCCTTCTGAAGAATCGGGGCCTGGCCCTCTCTTCTATCAAAGTTCATCTAGCTGCCATCTTGACTTTTCAGCCGCCAATCCAGGGTAAATCGGTGTTCTCGCACGAGATGTCAGTCAGGTTCTTGAAGGGCCTTGAAAGGCTCTTCCCTCCCATTAGGGATCCTGTCCCACAATGGGACCTCAATCTGATTCTCTCCAGACTCACGGGTCCGCCCTTTGAACCCTTAGGCTCTTATTCCCTTTCCCACCTCTCACGGAAAGTTGCCTTCCTTGTGGCAGTGACGTTGGCTAGATGAGTGTTGGAGATTAAAGCCCTGACCTTGGAACTGCCGTATATGGTCTTCTGCAAGGACAAGGTACAGCTGAGACCCCATCCAGCATTCCTGCTGAAGGTGGTGTCTTCCTTCCATATCAACCACGACATCTTCCTCACGGTGTTCTATCCTAAGCCTCACAAGACCAGAGAGGAGAGGTGATTGCACACCTTGAACGTTCATCGTGCCTTGGCGTTTTACCTGGAGCGCACTAAGCCCTTTCATATGTCAACATAGCTCTTCATCGCGACAGCAGACAGGATGAAGAGCCTTTCCATGTCTTCTCAGAGTATTTCCAACTGGATCACCTCCTGCATCCGGACCTGTTATGAGTTGGCACAGGTCCAACCTCTTCCTCTAGTGAAGGCCCACTCAAAGAGAGTGCAAGCGTCCTCGGCGGCCTTCCTGGCACATGTCCCCAACCAGGACATTTGCAGAGCCATGACTTGGTCTTTGGTTCACATGTTTACGGCACACTACGCCATCACCCAGCAGGCCAAAGATGATGCTGGGTTCAGCAGAGCTGTGTTACAAGCTACACATCCATGAACTCCTACCTGCTTCCGTTGGTACTGCTTGGGAGTCACCTAACGTGGAATGGGACATGAGCAAGCACTCAAAGAAGAAAAGCCAGTTACCTTTTCCATAACTGGTGTTCTTTGAGATCTGTTGCTCATGTCCATTCCATGACCCGCCCTTCTTCCCTGCTGTCGGAGTTCTGACAAGAAGGAGCTGAGGGTGGGGGGAGCTGGCGGCGCTCCTTATACTTCAGCATACGCATGCCACTCTAGAGGGCGCCAGAGCTGGTCCCCTACGGATACCACTGAGGGAAAAACTTCCAGCACCAGTGCATGTGGCGAGCACACACACCTAACATGGAATGGACATGAGCAACACATCCTGAAGAACACCAGTTATGGAAAAGGTAACTGTTTTTTACTGCAAGCTGAGTTAGGTCCAAAGGGTGTATAAACCCTGTCTACTTACCAGGGACATTTCTTTTAAGGACTTCTGACTTTTCATTTTGCTAACATCATGCATAAATTAATCCAGTTAAAATGCCCTTGTAGAAAATATTTGCACCACAAGTTATAAGTAAATTATTTTGATGCAATTCTATTATATCATATTTTAACATGAGTTCATCAGAGTTATTTGCCTGAAGTGCTATTTAATAAATGTTAAGTCTTAAGACTATCTGTAGTTTTTGTATTCAAATCCAATGAAATCACAACTTTTCCATCCCTTCTGCAGGTTTCAAACTTGCTTTCAATTACCTGAAAGATAAGAAATATGTGGAGGCAATAGAAGTTTGTCATGATGTAAGTTCTACAGAAAACTTTTAATTAGATAATGAAATAGATTGTGCCTAATTTATTGATTTTCCGTCTTTTCTTTTTCACTAGGTTTTGAGGATATGCCCAAGTTACCCAAAAATTAGAGAAGAGATTTTGGAAAAGGCTCAAGCAGCTCTCAAACCCTAGAAATAAAAGTCTTGATAATATGAAATGCTTTGATATCAGAAATATGTCAATAAGCACTAGAAATAAAAACATATTGAAAGTAAAGATTATTATGCATTTTAGATGTTCCAATTAGTACAAAACTCAGCCTTGCCTCTTTGCAGAGAGTACGCTGCTGAAACTTGTGGAAATGAACAGCTATTAAGACTCAGGCATGGCCATTAGACTTTGTATATGGACTGACAAAGGAGAATTGTAAATTCAGCAGAAGTGTATCCTCTTTATCTTATCTACATTATTTACTGGATTCAGTTTAAAAGAAAATAGAGTGGGCCTGATTCTCATTTTTAATAAGGCCCCTTTCTATCATTCTGTCAGAGTGAAGGAGTCTTAAAGTGAGAGTTAAACTATGTTTACATATACTTTAAGGCCCCTTTACCCTGTCAGAGTGGTGTAAAGAGGCTTTACTGTAAATGGGATTCAGGCTCAATATATTTAATTTACAATATATCCAAGTACTTTAAAAAATATTTTAAGTACAGAGTTTAGGAAAGTTTTGAAGGTTCCCATTATGGCATGCCTGTGGGACTCACTTGCCTAGTGAATGTAATATTTAAAGTTCTTTTCAAAGACGTGTGTATCTCTGTATGTATTAACTCTATAGTGTTTACCCAATGACTGGTTATTCAGATCAGACACCACTTTAGTGTTTTATCAGCAGATATGGTTTAGACATTTATATTAATAAGACTAAGCCATCCTTTTGAAAAAAAAAGTCTATGAATCTATGCTTTTAAAAAATGAACTAGTTTTTGAACTTTATTTTAAAGCTTCTTCATTCATTTATTTTAGTTTACTTTTTTTAGTCACTTAATGAGAATTCATTTTAAATATATATATTTTTAGATATAATGTAATTTTTCTCCACAACTTACTCTAATTCAGGAGGAGCATTGCTGCAAGAGAGAGAAATGTCATTTTTATTCACAGCTTCTTCAAATAATCAAACAATTCAGATCAGTTATATTGAAATAAATAATTCATCCTCCAACAATAAAAGCAGAAGGCGGGACAAGGAAAAGTAATTTGTCCCTTTTCCTTGGTTTATTGATGATTTAGACCAATATATAAAGTAAATTAAACTGATTAAAGTTTTGTCTGTCTTCATTATTATGTATCAACAAACTCTTTTTGCTTATGTAGTTATAGGGTTCTGTTAGAGGTGGATAAACTCATCTTGCGTAATTTGGATCCAACTTTAATATTGAGTTTGAAAGTTCAAACCAAGCTTGACTGATTGTGAGTTTGCATTCCACTTAGATGAGCCTGTGAGAAGAGGGTGCAGAGAAAGAAACTTGAATGAAAAATGAAATGCCAAATGTAGGTTACTTATGTAACTCTAGCTTTTGGCAGGGATCTTCTCTCACTAATACATAATTCTGGATCTGATTTAGGAAAGCAGGTAAACATGTGTTTAAGTTCATCCCTATCAGGACAACACTTAAGCACGTTTAATTCTAGCACGATTAAAGTTAAGTATGTGTTTTAAGTGCTATCTTGAATAGAGACGCTTTACTGAGTTGGGGCCATAAAGAAGGAGAGGAAACAAAGCTTTTACTGCAACATAGAAAAGAGTCTGAACTGCAAAGTTCAAATTCAGACTTTTTGTTCTGTCCATTTTATATTGAGAGGTTTTCTGTGATTATTGGAGTTGGATGTGAGGTTTCCCAAGGTCTGGGGGTATTTGGATCCAAGGTTTTGATTTGAACTTATCTCTAATTGTAGATTATGTACCAATACACTATATCTACTAAAAAAGAAAAGGCGTACTTGTGGAACCTTAGAGACTAACCAATTAATTTGAGCATGAGCTCACGAAAGCTTATGCTCAAATAAATTGGTTAGTCTCTAAGGTGCCACAAGTCCTCCTTTTCTTTTTGCGAATACAGACTAACATGGCTGCTACTCTGAAACCTATTCCTTTTTTCTGTGGAACAGTGAGTGCCCGCGGTGGGACTAGGTAAGGTGGGGCTGGAGGAAATGAGGGAAGGGGGTGAGAGGAAAGGCAGTGGGGAGGGAAATGTGGGAGTGAGAGGGGGATGGAGAAGAAAAGGGGATCGGGGAATCGCAGGGGGAAGTGGGAGCCTGGCATGCAGTGTCCCCTCGGCAGCAGCTGGGGCTCTCCGTTAAGCAGGCCCATTGAACCCTGACAAGCCGTATCCCCCTACAGCTGGACCCGTCCGATGAGACTTCCACACCCAGACTCCCACCCCACTGATCACCAGCAGCTGCACTGGACTCTTACCCTATCAAGCCCCACTCCCCCAGCACCTGGACCCCTTACTGATCCCCCACACCCAGACCCCCCCCGCGCCCCCCCGTTGAGCCCCATCTCCCCACACCCGGACCCCAACCCCATCCACTTTCACCTGGATTCCCTGAAAAGTCCCACTGCTCCCACACCTGGAACCCTGCAACAAGCTCCTGTGGATCAAGATCTCCCATTGAGCTGCCCACACCGATTGTCCCACCCTGAAACCTCTAAACTGAAACTCATCTAAACTGACCACTCTCCAAGTTTAAATCCAAGTTAAACCAGAACATCTGGGGGGGGGTAGGAAAAAACAAGAGGAAACAGGCTACCTTGCATAATGACTTAGCCACTCCCAGTCTCTATTTAAGCCTAAATTAATAGTATCCAATTTGCAAATGAATTCCAATTCAGCAGTTTCTCGCTGGAGTCTGGATTTGAAGTTTTTTTGTTTTAAGATAGTCTCCCAAGACTTGTGAGAGTGTTGGGTCATCCTTTAGGATAGGTTGTAGATCCTTAATAATGTGTTGGAGGGGTTTTAGTTGGGGGCTGAAGGTGACCGCTAGTGGCGTTCTGTTATTTTCTTTGTTAGGCCTGTCCTGTAGTAGGTAACTTCTGGGAACTCTTCTGGCTCTATCAATCTGTTTCTTTACTTCTGCAGGTGGGTATTGTAGTTGTAAGAAAGCTTGACAGAGATCTTGTAGGTGTTTGTCTCTGTCTGAGGAGTTGGAGCAAATGCAGTTGTATCGCAGAGCTTGGCTGTAGACGATGGATCGTGTGGTGTGGTCAGGGTGAAAGCTGGAGGCATGCAGGTAGGAATAGCGGTCAGTAGGTTTCCGGTATAGGGTGGTGTTTATGTGGCCATTGTTTATTAGCACTGTAGTGTCCAGGAAGTGGATCTCTTGTGTGGACTGGACCAGGCTGAGGTTGGTGGTGGGATGGTCAGCACAACCTATCCTAAAGGATGGCCCAACACTCTCACAAGTCTTGGGAGACAGGCCAGTCCTTGCCTACAGACAGCCCCGCAACCTGAAGCAAATACTCACCAACAACCACATACCACACAACAGAACCACTAACCCAGGAACTTATCCTTGCAACAAAGCCCGTTGCCAATTGTGCCCACATATCTATTCAGGGGACACCATCACAGGGCCTAATAATATCAGCCACACTATCAGAGGCTCGTTCACCTGCACATCCACCAATGTGATATATGCCATCATGTGCCAGCAATGCCCCTCTGCCATGTACATTGGTCAAACTGGACAGTCTCTACGTAAAAGAATAAATGGACACAAATCAGATGTCAAGAATTATAACATTCATAAACCAGTCGGAGAACACTTCAATCTCTCTGGTCACTCAATCACAGACATGAAGGTCGCTATCTTAAAACAAAAAAACTTCAAATCCAGACTCCAGCGAGAAACTGCTGAATTGGAATTCATTTGCAAATTGGATACTATTAATTTAGGCTTAAATAGAGACTGAGAGTGGCTAAGTCATTATGCAAGGTAGCCTGTTTCCTCTTGTCTTTTCCTACCCCCCCCCCCCCAGATGTTCTGGTTTAACTTGGATTTAAACTTGGAGAGTGGTCAGTTTAGATGAGCTATTACCAGCAGGAGAGTGAGTTTGTGTGTGTATGGGGGTGGGGGGGATGTGAGAAAACCTGGATCTATGCAGGAAATAGCCCGACTTGATTATGTAAAGAGTTGTCACTTTGGATGGGCTAGCACCAGCAGGAGAGTGAATTTGTGTGGGGGGGTGGAGGGTGAGAAAACCTGGATTTGTGCTGGAAATGGCCCACCTGTTGATCACTTTAGATAAGCTATTACCAGCAGGACAGTGGGGTGGGAGGAGGTATTGTTTCATATTCTCTGTGTGTATATAAAGTCTGCTGCAGTTTCCACGGTAAACATCTGATGAAGTGAGCTGTAGCTCACGAAAGCTCATGCTCAAATAAATTGGTTAGTCTCTAAGGTGCCACAAGTACTCCTTTTCTTTTTGCGAATACAGACTAACACGGCTGTTCCTCTGAAACCTGTCAAATAAGCATAGTGTGACATGTATGTGGGACAGAAATTCTTCCCTTAATTTGCCCCTCAATAACCAATCATCTTGGTATGGGAAGATACGAATTCCCCTCTTCCTGAGGTACACTGTCACTACAACCATGCATTTGGTAAAAACCCAGGGAGCAGAGGACAGACCAAAGCAGAGTATGGTATACTGATAATGGCCATGTGCCACAATGAATTGGAGAAACTCTCTGTGGCTTGGAAGAATTGTCACATGAAAATAATCATCCTGACAGGCCAGAGCAGCAAACCAGTCATTCTGATTTAACACGGGAGGATAGTCGATAGAGTGATCATCTGGAATCTCACATATCTGATATATTTGTTGAGGTTGTGGAGGTCAAGAATTGGTTTCACCCTGCCTTTAGATTTGTGAACCAGAAAATACTGGAAATAAAATCAGTGGCCCCAGAGTTGCAGAGGGACCTCCTCCACAGCTCCCAATTCTAGTAATGACTGAATCTGCCCAAGGAGTAGTGCCTTGTGAGAGGGGTCTCTGAAGAGGGACAGGGTAGGAGGGTGGAGAGGTGGGATGGAAAGGAACTGGATGGCATAACACAACCTGATGGTGCTTAGGACCTAGCTGCCAGGGCAGGTGAGCCCCAAACATCTTGAAAATGAGCAAGTTGGTCCCCAAATGCGGGGGACGGGTATATAGAGGTCACGACTGGATTACTGCCCTTGACAAAGAAGTCAAAATAGACTCTTGGTAGACACCGGGGGAGAACAAGTTGACTGGCCGAACCAAGGACCCAAAGGCCTCTGCCTCTGGGATCTATGACCCCTTCTGGAGTAGTCTTTCTGCCTCAAGGGAGGGAAGGACGGCCCGAAGGAGCATTGCAAGTGGTACTGTTGGTGCTGCTGCTAACTATCGAAATGGCATCTCTGCACTGCTGGAGTATACACCCACAGAGCGCATAGGGTAGAACTTGAGTCTTTAAATGAGTTCAAGTTTTCATCAGTGAGTGAACTGATCAATCAAAGGACAGGTCCTCAGTAACCTGCTGCACACTGGGTGCAATGCCTGAATTTTGCAGCCAAGATGCCCTTTGCATGGTTACTGCTGAAGCCATAACTCTGGCCAATGTAACTGCCACATCCGAAGCAGTTTGCAAGGATGTCTTGACCACCAAACAGCCCTCAGCTACAAACACTCAAAATTTCTCCCTGAAGGCTTCAGGTAACTGATCTACAAACTTAGACATAGCTGTCCAATTAATGAAATCATATTTTGACAGTAATGCCTGCTGGTTTGCAATATGCATTTGTAGGGAAGAGGAGGTTGAGATTTTTCTACCCATTAAGTCAGGCCTCTTGGACTCCTTGTCCTTGGGGGTAGATTTATACCTATCCTGCTGGGTCCTATCATTCACCACAGTCACAACCAGGGAATTGGGGACCAGGTGGGAATAGAAGCCCCCCAAACCCTGCATAGGTACCAAACAGCATTTCTATGAACTCTTCACCGCAGGCAGCACAAAAACCGGATTACTCCAAAGAACCTTTACAGGCTTCATAAATATATCTTTAATAGGAAGGGCTACTGTCCCCAGGGCAGACAGCTGGAGAATATCCAATAGTTTGTGAATATTCTCCTGCAGGAACTCTGCCTAGATGCCCAACATAGCAGCCACATCACACAAAAGGTCCTGGTAGGCCTTGAAGTCCTCAGGCACTGAGGGAAAAGGGGAGCCTGGTACCATCAAATCATCGGGGGACAATGATGAAGCAGTCACTTGCACTAGGGATGGGTTCTGCCCCTGAACTGTCAGACCTGGATGGGACAACTGGAGGCCACAAAGAGTGAGCATTGCGCTCCTACAGGTACTGCTAGGCAAAATTCTGTGGCTTCAGCACCCTACGTAGGATACACAGCTGCATCTACTCAAAGAAGAAGTTAAGCTATTTTTACTGATAAATGATTAGGGAATATCTCTAGCATTGTATATGGCTTGTATAACCTCATGAATTACCTTGTTCAAAATTCCCATCACTTCTTCTTTTTTATTGTTTTTGTAAACCTTTGCTAGTAAAATCAGGCTCTTGACATCCTTCATCATGGAAGGCAAGTCATTAACTGAAAGATTAAAATGGTAATATGTTATCTTTCTAGTCTGACATTTTTCTGGATATCAGAAACAAGAATTGATGTTTGGAGTACACAATGAAGTATTTTTGTGTCACCCACAAATGTGTAAAACAAGGCCTGGGAGAGTGCCCTCATGCAAGGCAATTTAAATATTTATTGAATGCTCGCGTAAGTGTACTCAGTCTAGAAATATAATTAACTAGAATAATTATTTATGAAGAAATTAATGTTGTATATTTTAAAATGATTCACAGGCTTTGATACTACACAGAGCAAACTTAATAGAAAGGATGAATAATGCTACCAGAGTCATGGTCCATAGCTTGATTCAGAACCCTTTCTGCCTTGTTAAACTTCTTGAGTTTGAGGAGGAGTTCAGCAAGATCATGGCACAAGAAGTCCTGCTCACTCATCTTTAGAGCTACTTCATAATAATTAATAGCCTGCAAGGAAATTTAAAGAGGTCAATATAATATCCCAAATACAGAATTACACACAGTAGGTCAAAATGAAACATTCATATATAACTTCTGTCATCTATTTGATTATTTCTCTTTATTTCTTTGTTCTTATGATTTAAATGCTCAATGAATAAAATAAATCCTTTGTTTTCAAGACCTTGCTATATTGATGAGTTTTCACATATGCTTGTCCAATTTTTCTGGCCAGTGTTGCATCTAAAGGATTCTTTCTTTGAGCTGCTTCGTATACTTCCACAGCTTTCTCTGGCTAAAAGTAAGTGACAGAAGTGGGAGTTATTTTCATGTGTAATATTAGAAGTTAGGAATATTTTTGCCAATGATTCAGCAACATTTATTGTATGCTATATAAGTGCTAGTTATTAACTGATTATTATTTAAATCCAGCTTTTCAGTTAAATGTATTTTTGTTTGAATTACTACAGATTTATTAAACAAATTTATACTAACCTCTTGAACATTCATGTAAGCATCTCCCAAGAGAAGGCTAGTATGAGGACTTGGCAATTGTTCACACAGTTCGCTACAAAAAAAGTAAGAACAACATTTAGAATCAAGACAATAAGAAACAAATTTTGAAATCTAATGGATGAAATGTAAGAAAAATACATGAATCCTCAAGAAAATAAAGTCAGTTCTGTCATTTAAAAAAACAGAGCTAGAACTTCAGCCGGTGTAAGTCAGAGTAGCTCCAATGACTTCAACAGCCACTGCCCCAAAATGCTTGCGCAATCTGAATGAAGACAAGATGCAATACACTGGTGCAGCAAACAAACTGAGAGAATTGGGATGGAAAGTTGAAGATAACAGTGATAGGAACTCATGGTTACATAAAATAGTTCGAAGACGTTTGTACGTTTTGAATTTAAAAAGTATACTTGTTAACAAGTTTCCACCACCACAGTCTGATTCTAGCCCCTCTTCACACACACACACAAAAGTAACTAATAGAAAAAGGCAACCTCTCCCCAGCTGTATCTACTGTGAGGTTTTTGCCAAATTCTCTCATCAATGCACTACCACTGGGGCAAGTTCACAGGGGTTAGCAAGGATGGCAGCATAGTATGCACCTAATGTGGGTCTTTTTGTTACTAAATCACCTAACCCTAAACAGAACAGATCTAGACTACATGGTAGTAAAAAAACCACCTGTGCTCAGACTACATTAGTGCTCCCACCATTCATAGCACTGGTGAAGCTGCACTGCTACTATAGTGCAGTAATGGGAGAATTTGACAAAACTTCAGAGTGGGTAAATTCAAGCAGTTTATCCCCCAGAGATTAATCTAAGGGCTTGCCTACACTTGGAAATATACTGAAATAGTTATTCCAGAATAATTATTCTTCAGGCTAGACCACACTACTGTGGAGGACAGTCTATTATATCTAGTTGAGAAAATTAAATAAACTCAGCACAAAAGAGCAAGGCAAGGCAGGAAAAAAGCGAAGTGGGTAAATGGAGGGGAAATCTCTGTTTTTCACTTTGCCCTAGATAGGGGGATTTACTGACTTGACAATCTCTGGTAAACTCAAAAGTCTTTTGGGGAGCTGAAAATATTGGTGATAGTCCAAGGAGGATATGAATAAAGCATACACTAGCTGTGCATAATGGCTCTTTATAAGGTATGTTGTCCTTCTGGCTAGGATTAAGTGTGTTAGATGATTTTAATATCAGATATTGTCCTTTAGAGGCGGAACAATATCATGCACTTGAAGGGGGGTGGATTTTAAGAGTTCTTTCTCCTCTAACTTCTATGATCTTATATTCTTTTCCCTCACCAAAGCAGACATCTACATCAAATATTAGGAGATACTGTGACTTAGCAAGGGACTGGGAGTGTGGAGGTCTGGGTTCTCATTCTCACTGTGTCATACCCTTGCAGTGTAACCTTGAGTGAAATCACTTTACTTCTCTGTGCCTTGGTATAAAATAGACATAACATTTCTATGCTTTTAAGGACTTGATCCTGTTTGCATTCAAGTCAATGGGAAAACTTCCATTACCCCTAATGATGCAGGCCCAAGCCCTAGAGAAGTTTGAGCTCCTCAAAGCAAAGGTGCTGTTATTACCAAACAAAAGAATTCTCCCCACTCTTTTTCATACAGGAAATCTTACACACAAAAGTAATTTCAGTTCTGCTTGTCTGAACATTGTTGCACACTCAAAAATAGCCAAAGGACCATAAACAAAGGAAAATGATAAAAAGCAATATATCAAATATGTAATGGGCGGGGGAGGTGCCTAGGAACATACTGCACAGGAATTTTATTAGGTTCTATCTTATTTAATATTCTGATGGGGATCTGGAAGAGGGAAAAAATGTAAATGGCACCAAACTTGGAGGCATTGTCAATACCAGTGAGAAATTATTACTACTTAATAATATGCATATTGCTATGGTGCCTAGAAGCCAAGCAGGTTGGGACCCCATTGGGTTAGGCACTGTACAAATATAGAAAATGATATTCCATGCTCCACAGAGCTTACAATTCAAAAGACAGACATGACAGATGGATGAGACAAACAAGCAGGTTAGATTGAGGGGAGTGGAGAGAGAAAATAGAGCACAAGTTTTAGCAAGTAAAGAGCAGTAATCCCAACTATCCCCTTTCCTTCCTGTATAAGGGCTTTTCTGTATAAACAGTATTGTGCAGTAAAATGGGATATAAATCTACCCCACACCAGCCTGCTGCACACTAACTGTGTGGCGCTCACTGCCACACCCTAAAAGTACCCTAGTGCACACTGATCTATCCCGCTTTGAAGCGGTGTATCAAAGTGCACTACTGAACTGTTAGTCCACAGCAGCAGGGTCCACATGGACAGTTAATAGGCAGCAATCTAGAGTGAAGCAGATTTGTATCCCATCTTGACCTGCACCAACTGTTCATATAGACAAGCCCCCCAAAAAATAATACCAGAATTCCAGCATATTTCGAATCTGAGGAAGAAACAGCAAAAAGAGTTAAAACTTGGAAAATATAAGCTAGTGCATCTGGGCAAACATATTATGTGGGCTGTTTACATGTATTACTTAGATTATCAGTGAAAAACCACATGCCAAAGTTCAGTTATCAATAGAGAAAAATATTATATTCTGAACATCATTAAGTGCATATCTCTAATGCTTTTAATGTGTATGGAAATTCATTACAACGATTATGTAAAATCTCTTTCGGTTATAGAGGTGCTGGACTGAGGATTTTGCCATTTGTGTGACAGTAGAAAGCTTTTAAATGAATGATTTATCACTCGGGATATATAATTATTTAATCATAGAATCATGATGTCTACTTCTATTTCTGTAGGTCCAGATTCTGTCCCCTTTTCTCATTTTGAGTAGTATCTTACTCAAAACTGTGACCCAGGCAATGGGGTGGCATGAGGGAGTGCAAGATGCTCCTCTTGCCATTTACCTTAATCATCATTATTAGCATGGGAGGGGATACAGGCTAACCGTACAGGTGAGCCAGAGGGAGCAGAGAGAGGTCAGAGCCTTAGCTCTGTTCTCCCAGCACGCCAAACACTGTGGGTGTACTTGATGCTTCAGGGAGCGTATGCTGCATCAGGTACAGCCTCCACACAGAATGCTCTCTCTGCGAATCACTGTTTCCTGCTCCCTGCTCAAGCTACTCCTAGGGCAACACAGCAAAGCACTGCCCATAACACAGGGCTAATGGCAAAGACATAGTTGAGCTCTCTGTCAGCAGTCCTATTGACTGAACGGTCTAATTTTGGAGGAAGGCCATACTCAGTGTGAGAGTGACAGAATCTGGCATTTAGTCTTCCCCACTTCAGTTCTTTTCCCCATAAAACCAATGTTATCCAATAGTCTAAACAGTACGTATTTTATGTTTCTGATGCCAGAAAAGCTTTTTTGTCTTCTTTAGCTGAAGATGAAAGCTTCTTCCAATAAATAAAATGCTAGTTCTGAAATAGAAATATCTGACCCTTAATGCCAATTTTGAGGGAAATATATACCCTTGGCTAGTGATTAAATGGCAAATTCTGCCATCCGTACTCCCACTGAGTACTAATTTACTCCAAAAACTGACCTTTTGTTTTCAGTAGTACCTGAAAAAAGGTGGCACAATCTGACCCCAACTGTTTAGCATAATATTTTATGTCATAACAATGTTTGTTGTGGTATTTTTAAATATTAATGTATTTCCTTAAGATTCTCAACTGTTTCTATTTTTTTCTCTTTCCCCCAAGATTCTTAGAGGTCTTGTTATCTTAACAAAAATATGAATGATTATGACAAACAACACTGAAATTAAAACGTGACTTGTGGAAATGGACCTTGTTCTCTGGATTCACAGTTCTGTACTTTCACTCCTAGACTATGCTTCCAAAAGGCTCTGAAATTGGTTTTGCTCTATATTGTCAGCTTTTTTTCTGTATATAAAGCCATTGTCTTTTTAAAATAAAATATTTGAAAATGTAAACATTTTTAACATATTTAATCTTAAACAATATTACCAATAACATCCAATGTATAGTCTCTTATCCTTCCGTATCTGAAGGTATATCTGAGCCATCTTTTCTTTAACCTCAGTATAATATGGTTGGCTTGGGGTGATATTTCTCAGCATGCTTAGCGCTATTTCCACTTCCCCTTTACTGAGAGCCAAATCTACATTAGCAACAGTGATGCGGATTTCCTCTGGAGTTCCACTAAATTCATATGGATTAATGGATTCATAATGGCATCCTGCATAATTTTAGTAGCTTCATGTGGCAGACCGGCTTTGAGAACCACTGCTCGAGTGGAGACTCAGCATAAGCTGACAAAAGGAATTCCTTTGATAGCATCGCTACACCACCTCCCTGTACTACTTTAGCTAACCATCAGAGGAGTGAAGTTCTGGAACAGCCTTCCAAGGGAAGCAGTGGGGGCAAAAGACCTATCTGACTTCAAGATTAAACTTGATAAGTTTATGGAGGAGATGGTAAGATGGGATAATATGATCTTGGCAATTAATTGATCTTTAACTATTCATGGTTAATAGGCCCAATGGCCTGTGATGGGATGTTAGATGGGGTGGGATCTGAGTTCCTACAGAGAATTCTTTCCTGGGTATCTGGCTGGTGAATCTTGCCCATATGCTCAGAGTTTAGCTGATCGCCATATTTGGGGTCGGGAAGGAATTTTCCTCCAGGGCAGATTGGAAGAGGCCCTGGGGGGTTTTTGCCTTCCTCTGCAGCATGGCGCATGGGTCACTTGCTGGAGGATTATCTGCACCTTGAAGTCTTTAAACCATGATCTGAGGACTTCAATAGCTCAGACATAGGTGAGAGGTTTTTCGCAGGAGTGGGTGGGTGAGAGTCTGTGGCCTGCGTTGTGCAGGAGGTCATAATGGTCCTTTCTGACTTTAATGTCTATGAGCCTATGAGAAGCACTCTTCTGTGTCAGCACAGTTGCACCTACGATGGAGGCTTTGCTGCCCGAGCTACGCCTGCTAGCAGGTGTGGGGTTTTTTGCTTGCCTTGCCAACATCGCTATGCCGACAAATCTTAAGTCTCAGAGTCAGCATGTTTGCAATCATCAGAGCCCCTGGAAATTTCAGAGGGCACAACATGGTCAATGTATTTTTGACACGTGCCTTAACCATACTTAAGGGGACATATTTCAAGGAATCCCTGTTGAGGTTAAATCAAGAGGTGAAATCAAGAGGGCCAAATCGCACCTGGAGCTGCAGCTAGCAAGAGATGTCAAGAGTAACAAGAAGGGTTTCTTCAGGTATGTTGGCAACAAGAAGAAAGTCAAGGAAAGTGTGGGCCCCTTACTGAATGAGGGCGGCAACCTAGTGACAGAGGATGTGGAAAAAGCTAATGTGCTCAATGCTTGTTTTGCCTCTGTCTTCACTAACAAGGACAGCTCCCAGACTGCTGCGCTGGGCATCACAACATGGGGAATAGATGGCCAGCCCTCTGTGGAGAAAGAGGTGGTTAGGGACTATTTTGGAAAGCTGGACGTGCACAAGTCCATAGGGCCGGACGAGTTGCATCCGAGAGTGCTAAAGGAATTGGCGTCTGTGATTGCAGAGCCATTGGCCATTATCTTTGAAAACTCGTGGCGAACGGGGGAAGTCCCAGATGACTGGAAAAAGGCTAATGTAGTGCCAATCTTTAAAAAAGGGAAGAAGGAGGATCCTGGGAATGACAGGCCAGTCAGCCTCACCTCAGTGCCTGGAAAAATCATGGAGCAGGTCCTCAAGGAATCAATCCTGAAGCACTTACATGAGAGGAAAGTGATCAAGAACAGTCAGCATGGATTCACCAAGGGAAGGTCATGCCTGACTAATCTAATCGCCTTCTATGATGAGATTACTGGTTCTGTGGATGAAGGGAAAGCAGTGGATGTATTGTTTCTTGACTTTAGCAAAGCTTTTGACACGGTCTCCCACAGTATTCTTGTCAGCAAGTTAAAGAAGTATGGGCTGGATGAATGCACTATAAGGTGGGTAGAAAGTTGGCTAGATTGTCGGGCTCAACGGGTAGTGATCAATGGCTCCATGTCTAGTTGGCAGCCGGTGTCAAGTGGAGTGCCCCAGGGGTCGGTCCTGGGGCCGGTTTTGTTCAATATCTTCATAAATGATCTGGAGGATGGTGTGGATTGCACTCTCAGCAAATTTGTGGATGATACTAAACTGGGAGGAGTGGTAGATACACTGGAGGGCAGGGATAGGATACAGAGGGACCTAGAGAAATTGGAGGATTGGGCCAAAAGAAATCTGATGAGGTTCAATAAGGATAAGTGCAGCGTCCTGCACTTAGGATGGAAGAACCCAATGCACCGCTACAGACTAGGGACCGAACGGCTAGGCAGCAGTTCTGCGGAAAAGGACCTAGGGGTGACAGTGGACGAGAAGCTGGATATGAGTCAACAGTGTGCCCTTGTTGCCAAGAAGGCCAATGGCATTTTGGGATGTATAAGTAGGGGCATAGCGAGCAGATCGAGGGACGTGATCATCCCCCTCTATTCGACATTGGTGAGGCCTCATCTGGAGTACTGTGTCCAGTTTTGGGCCCCACACTACAAGAAGGATGTGGATAAATTGGAAAGAGTCCAGCGAAGGGCAACAAAAATGATTAGGGGTCTGGAACACATGACTTATGGGGAGAGGCTGAGGGAATTGGGATTGTTTAGTCTGTAGAAGAGAAGAATGAGGGGGGATTTGATAGCTGCTTTCAACTACCTGAGAGGTGGTTCCAGAGAGCATGGTTCTAGACTATTCTCAGTGGTAGAAGAGGACAGGACAAGGAGTAATGGTCTCAAGTTGCAGTGGGGGAGGTTTAGGTTGGATATTAGGAAAAACTTTTTCACTAGGAGGGTGGTGAAACACTGGAACGCGTTACCTAGGGAGGTGGTAGAATCTCCTTCGTTAGAAGTTTTTAAGGTCAGGCTTGACAAAGCCCTGGCTGGGATGATTTAATTGGGGATTGGTCCTGCTGTGAGCAGGGGGTTGGACTAGATGACCTCCTGAGGTCCCTTCCAACCCTGATATTCTATGATTCTATGAAGGAGGAGTGAGACCAAAAAATCCTCCTATGACTCAGAAGCTGTAAAGGATTGTGGGATTTGGGTAACAGCAAGATTTTTTGACCCATTTTGGGGTGGGCTGGTGATACCGCTGGTTGAGGAGCATGTGGTGTGGGAGCTTATGCTGTTGGATGAGGGTGCTTATATGGTGGAGGGCTGGTGTTGCTGTGGGTGGGCTTTGGGGGTGAAGGATTGGTTCTTCTGGGTGGGGTGCTGGTGTTGCCAGGTAGGGCAGTTGTGGGGTGGGGGAGACTGGTGTTGTCAGCTGGTGCTTTTGGGTGTTGGTGGGGGAGACTAGTGATGCCAGATGGGGTACTTGTGGGGTGGGCAACTGGTGTTGCTGGGGATGGACTTGTGGAGGGAGGGTAAGCTGATGCAGCTGCAGGTGGGCTTGTGTGATGAGGGTGAGCTGGTGCTGCTAGGTGGGTGCTCATGGTGTGGGGGTGGGGCTGGTGTCACTGGGTAGGAGGGGCCTATATAATTGCTTGTGCAGTGTTGGTGTGGATTGTTGAACAGCTGCTGTGTTCCTCACCAGAAGTGGCTGTACATGGTGGGTGAAGACAGTCCTGCAGTTCCCTTCAAATCCTTTTAAAAATCAGAAAATTAAAGTGTATTTTTGTAAAGCCAAACATATGGGGAAAACCCCATTGGTTTCCAGATCAAAACAGCAAAACATGCAGTTTAATACAGTAATGAGTATGACATTTTACCTAGATGTGGACTATAGGAGGCTCTCACCTCTAATCTTTATATTAGAAAGACATAACTGACCAAAAAAAATGTACCACGGTGAGTGTGTCTACCTGGTAAAAAACCCTGCTGCAGTGAGTCTCGGAGCCCGGGTCATCAGACTCAGTTAATATATCGGAGAACCTAGAAAATATTATCAAGTGCAATCAAATAACTTCATGATTTTAAAATTAAAATCCATCACTACAGATGCTCTCCAGTGCTCTTGCAACTCTTGCAAAACTTCTTCACTTCTTCATCTTCATTTGTACTTGCCATAATATACAAGATTTATCTATTTGCAGATCAAAAATGATCTCTCATTGATAATAATTGTATCTAAAAAGCAGCTCCCTTATATAGCTGTGAGTGAATTCAATGCAGGATATGCATGCACTCTTTCATCATTTAGATCCAAAGTATTTTCTTCGAGATTTGGCCTTTGTATAGTTGAGCAAAAATAAATATTTCTTTGATGTAATGGTGCCCTTCAGTGGCTCGTTTGGTTAATTACAAGTATAAATGCTGTTATACAGTTCCAGATGAGTAATGCAGATATTGGGTGGAATACACAAAGGTCCACATCATGCCCTGGGGCTACGCAAGCAGCTATGAGATTTGGACAGAATAGGAGAGTGCACAAAGAAGTTAATGAGCTGGAATGGAAGTATTGGTAAATTAAACAGCAATTCTGCAGTTTTAAAATGTTCCTCTCCTATACAGCAGAAAGGGATTTGGCTACGGGTGGGTGTGTAGCTTCCCCACATACTCCAACAAGCTCCACTGTTTATAGTGTAATTCATCAGAAAATGAATCTGTTACCTCCAACTCCAGTAACAGGGTTTGATTGTTTTTTTCCTCTCGTTTCATAAACTCAATATCACCCCTGATTGGTTCTGACTCATCCTTTAAGCTGTTTAAAGCAGTTCACAGAAGTATTGTGTTGGTAAGAATACATATTGTTACACAGCTCCTATTATCGGGGATGGTGAATTCTCACATCCCAACACCTCAGTGTGTATTATTCATTATCACAGGACTGAAACAAGAGCTTCTCTTGCAGCCTTTGCCCTAGGCCTGCCCTTGCACTCCACCAGCAATTCCAGCCTAGAAGCCATTCGTCTCCTCTGTCACGCTGGTCTCTGAGCCTTTATCACCATGCCCTCCTGCATGGAACTCCCTCTCCATTCCAGTTCAGCAAGGGCCTGATCCTGCTGACATCAGTGACAAAGCTCTCATTGAGTTCAGTGGAGCAGGCTCAGGCCCCAAGCCACCACCTTCTCATTCAAATGCCGCCTAAAATCTGACCTCTTTTGCCCTTTCCACAACAAGTGATTTAATAATGATTTTTTAAAAATCCAAGCTAGCTCTTTCTGCTGGATTTCCCAATGCCAAGTTAGTTTTC